TTCTTAGTTTGGTTTCTACATTAAATATGCTTTATTTATCAGAAAACTAAAAAACCTAAATGTTGGTTCGTATACATTTAAAATGTTGATCTTAATGTCAGACTAAAATTTCTTTCTTGGATATCATCACTCATAACAAAGGCTTTACAGGTAGAGTACAGTGCATAGTTCTTTTGTATAACATTAGTAGAGTAGTATCAGTAGTTTTATAGAGGGTTGAGTGTGCCTTAGGAAGCATTGATCAATCCTGTAAAGGACAAAAAGAATTTGTTTTGCTCTTCTTCGTGCTTCCTCTGCAAGGCTAACAATTAAATAGTATGTTCCAGGAAAAAAAAATCCAAACCTATAAATATATAGGAGGAACAGATTAAATGAAAACAGAGGAGTACGTTTACATAAACAGTCCTAATAGGAAGCCTATATTTGCTATGAGCATTCACTGTGTATCCCATAAAATTGTTATATGAATTGTTATTTTTACTGCAAAAATAAGCTATTTTATATACCTTCCAAAATTAAGTAATCCTTGTTTTTAAATGTGAATGTGGAAAATAATAAATGGGCAGAAGCTTCATAGGCATAATGGCAGAAGGGCAAAAAGTACATTGAAGTTTTTTACTAAATTGTGTAGCAATATTTTTAAGGTAATTAAAGTTACTCAGACAAACCCAAGTGACACATCTTCATTGATCTGTAATGCACTCTTTTTGTTTATGTTCTTAGATTACCAGCAATGCGACCAGTGATCTAAACATTAAGGTCGATGGCCGTGCTATTGTCCGTGGAAACGAAGGTGTTTTCATCACAGGCAAGACCATTGAGTTTCGAATGGGGGGTAACATGGAACTTAAAGCAGTAAGTATTTCAAATCAGCATTTTTTGAACAGCTTAGTTTCAAATTCAGGCTGAAAATAAACTGATGTAGCTTTATATGGTTTCAAATTTTATATAAAGTAGCCATGCATAACAGTTTAGTTGCAGTCAGTGTATTTAGTAGGATTTTAAAAGGTGGCATATTACTTTGCTGTTAATTAGTGGTTCAGTAGTTTTCAGGTAACAATGATTTACTACTTTTTAGATGCTAAAAACCCACGATGCAATTAAAGCTAAGCTATTGGCCTCTGCACTGAAATAAATACCAAAGAGAATTCATCTTCTCTTCTGGAGGCTTTACTGGGGTCAGCAACCTTTGACAAAGGAGCAGAGCATACAGTTAGGAGCGCTACCTTTCGTGCTGCCACAGTAAGACTTGCCAGCATTCATTTAAGATTTTTAGAGATTATTTCATGTCCGTATTTTTAGATTTAGTGCATTTGCTAATAGGCCTGTAAAGTGAAAAGCCACACTACTGCTGTCTCTCTCAATATTGATCTACCACTGGAACAGCAAAGTACGTTGCTGACTATAATTGAGAACGTCATGGGCATTATTCACAAATTTAATTAAAAAAATGAAACCTTGTTATATGTACTTTTTTTTATTCTGTTGATTTCGACAGCCATCCTAAAGATGTCATTTATTCATTAAACCAGCTTGTCCTTTTCAAAAACAACCTGCCTTGTTTAAATCAGAAGTTGAACTTTTTTTTCTCCCTCTTAATAGGAGAACAGCATTATCCTGAATGGAACTGTGATGGTCAGCCCATCGCGACTGCCAAGTTCTTCTTATGGGGAGCAGTTCAATAACGGCAACTGGCTGCGCTTCAAGCTCTGTATGTGTGCGGATGGGACACTGTTCAAGGTTCAGGTGACAGGTTATAATATGGGTTGTCAGACTTCTGTCAATCCATGCGGAGCCACGCACTAAAACACAAACCACTAGCAGGAGAGTTCACTTTTGTGTTTACATATATTTGTATGAAGTAATTGCATGCCTTCAAGGATTTCTGTTTTTACAGCAGTTTATACTAACATTTATTACATAATATTTTTAAGTGAAGGCTGTTACATTCAGCAGTATTATATCATCATCCTGTTAGCTGTAATAGTGGCACTGATTTAGTAAACTTTCAGTCTACATGCATACTGAAGTACGTTCCTGAATTGGGATCAGTAGAATATAGTTAAAGAACGTGATTTAGCAACAATCTTGACTGCCTTCAGTTGCTTTTAGAGGAGGTTTTTGTCCTACATCCCAACACCATAAGGGTGGCTGAGAACAGAACTGTCATCTGAAGTACTTCAACAGGAATGTCGATTTGTTCTTGGAAGTGGATTTGCCTAGGATGGCTGAAGTGGCAGATTTTTGTCTTCTCTTCATTTCTTGCCAAAGGTTGATATAATGATTTCCCCCAAAATTATGTGGTTTACCATATTTGTACTACGAGAGGGGTAATCGCAGATTCACTTTAAAATATTGCATTATTTCTGCCATACATTCTCATGTAGTTAAAAAAAAATGATGCTAGCATAAATAATATTTGCAAAGTAATATCAAGTGTGGAAATGTAACTTCAATTTTGAAATAGTCTTGCGATTATTGAAGTGTTGCTTGAGGTCCCATTTTATCTGTGCAGTTTAGGCATTCTATGGTGGTTTAATTTATGTGAAGTATTTATAAAACGTGTTTATATTAGAAGTACATTTTTAAAGATGTACCTATAACTTGCTCACTACCCAAAAAAAATGTTTTCCTGGGTGCTTTGATGTGAACAGTGTATGAATCCATTATTCAACAGGTAATAATCTAAAGCATGACTTGCAGCAGCATCTGAGATCAGATATCTTTTTTCTCCATAAATATTAGTACTGATGCACTGAACCTCAGAATTAAATCCTGAAGTTAAACTGCAGGTCTATAATTCTAAATGTGATGGTATTGGATCCTATGACAGCAGAGTAAATACATGTGAATATCTGAATTTGAAAACAGTGAAACTGTGTCTATGGTGAACTGGGGCCTTATAGAAACTATTCTAGCCTTGTAACTGCTTTTGGAGAGGTGAGGTGTTTTGTACTAAAAATAGACCAGCTCATTATAAGATTCCTCCTTTCCCCACCCCATGTATTTCTTCAGTTTAAAATAGTTTTGTTTTGCAGTAGCATCAAGTAACCTTAATAATGGAGGCCACAAAGGTGACTTTGCAAGTAGCTTTTTGACACGTTTTTCTAGATAGGCACACACTTCTCTTTCTAAATGTTATGCAAATGTTACACATTAACTTCAGAATTGGTCATTTGTGATGGGAAGATAAACTATCTACCCTTGTTTTTATAGCTCTCAAAGTACATAGAATTCCACAAAATACAAATCAGCACCTGCTGCAACAAGAACATCGTGTCCAAGGTCCCAATTCCTGTATTTACTAGAAGTCAGTAAGTCCTCATGCAGGATGTGTATGGGTGGAAGTGATTTCTAGAGGGGGATGCTTAGGTCAGGCATTATGCCACGCAGGAGGTCAGAGGGGTCACATTTCCATCATTGCTCAAAGGCAAAGCCAGATTTTGATGCTCAGTAGTTGATGGGCGGACAGCAGCAGAGCTGGTCTAACAACAACAGAATAAACAGAATAAAATGTAGCAAAGGCCATTGAATTGCTCACATTAAAGATTATGGGAAAGTACTAACATTTTGCATACTGCCTTCATGAACTTCATAGGTTTACTAGAGTTAATATTTATTAACCACTTCAACACACATTTTGCTGAAAATGTGCACACATCTTTGCTGCTAAGTACTGCCTCAATTAGTATCTCTTACTGGTAAGAGGAGGAAATAAACTATAACATTTTTAGAATTTTCACTCTCATGCTAATGGAAGTTTGTCACTTTATTTTTATATATATAAACATATATATATATGCATGTATAAACATATAAGCAGCGGTGTCTTCAAAGCTGAAATAGATCTTGAAAATGATAGATACTGCCTCGGTCAAGTAGATTACACACAAAGAGCATGTTAAAGCTCTTCTCTGGTTAATACTGACATGCCTATATGTTAGTATTGGATTCTTGTAATTATCAAGAATTCTTTTTAAAATACTGTATGCAACATAGCTGAAAGATTTGTCACAAAGGTACTCTTAAATCATGGTCTGGAGAATTGGTTTTGAAGTCTCGGGTTTTTGTCAAAACATAGCAAAACCGATCATACAAATACCAAATGAAATAAATGATCAATTTGTTAGCCACTATTTATGTATTGTTAATATATTTTGTTGCCTTCACTACACAGTTTGAGAAATGTTGGCACCACACATGCCTTGTGTTGTGCATTTTTTTTGTTGTTTATCTTCTAACTGCCTAAGGTACGTTTTTCTATGCGTATTTAAAACATTGTGTGGCACATTATTTATTTCAATCCCACAGATGCATTTAAGATTCTGTGTGTTTAAGGTACGTTCTACATGCCTCTGTGTAAAATACCATACTGGGTACGTTGAAACAACTTACATGTGAGGAGTTCTCAGTGTATGTAAAGGTGGTGGTTGTTTCAACAGGTGAAAGACAATTGAATTTCTAATCTTTGTTTTGAAATGAAACAATAAATTCTAAGATGCAGCTGTGGTTCAGAAGTGTTATTTCTAAGAACATAGTTTTTCATTAAAAACACAATGTTGTGTTATTGACAGGGAAACTAGTATTCTATTAACTGTAAATATGAAAATCATTCCACATCTGTTCGTCATGGATTGTATCTGGTGGACTTTGCTCAGTGGTAATTGCGTATGATACCTGAAGCAGAGTTCAAAAGTCTCCACTGTTGTTAGTTCACAAGTTCCTGAGAAGCTGTATTTCTTGACCGAAGTGCTGGAAAAGAAAGAAAAGGTTTGGAGTGGTTTTTGGGAGAGGTGGAGGGAGGGTGAAGGTTAACAGTTTATGAATGTTCTTTTTGAAAAATACCTAAGACTCCAAAACTGAATGTTTAAAGCAGAACATTGGTAATGCTTTGGGTATTTGTTAGTGTTGATCTTTTTTTAATGTCAAGTATTTCCGCCTTCTATGTAACTCTTGTTATGCTGAACTTACCGTAAGTTTACATTTTACATATAGATACTATGGATAACCTTCATTTGAGTGTCATAGCTGTGGTCCTTTCCTTTAATCTTCCTGGATCAGTGGAAACCAAGTCACAGCGGGTTCTTCATACACATCACCATTCAGACTGCCAGTGGGATGGGGAGTTCCTACTGAATTGTTCTTTTACCGGAATACCTACTATTCCAGAAGATATATCACAAACAGCAATAACAGCTGATTTTAGTTACAATAATATTAAAACTCTTCTGTGCACTGATGGAAGAAATCAAAAATGGATGCTAAAACACCTGAATCTTAGTAACAACCTGATTTCTGAACTCTCCTTAACTACTTGTAGAAATTTACTGGTATTAGAAACTCTAAACCTGAATGGTAATGCCATCCACACCCTCACACTGGACATACCTACGCCTGCACATGGGTCTAAAAAGTACGGAAAAGTCAGTCGCCTCCTGCCTGCTTTGAAAGTATTGTCAGTTGAAAGAAATAATCTTGATACAGTTCCAAGAGGTAAGCTTTCAAAATCTTTAAGGACCTCACTCCCAAGGGGTAAGCTGGTTTTGGGTATGATGCGGTACATCTTACTGAATTCAGAATGCAACTATCTCAGTTATACTTAAGGTGAGGGAAGGTTCCACCTGTGTGCAAATACAGAGCCTGAAGCAAATGGGTTGTTTCAGATTAGGTTGGGGTTTTTCATACAGTCTTTGCAATTGTAATGCCTTAATGTCAGTCAAATATAACCAAATTTATCCTCTGAGAGCCCAAGCAGCATTTTTCCTTGTATAGAAAAGGAAGTAAGGATCTTTGAAAAAACGCCAGCCTCCACAACCCAGTCATTAACCTTAACATCAAGAAAATTATGGATAATAAATTTCATACTACTCTTCAGAAGAAAGTCAATACTCTTTTAAATAAAACTTGCTCCAATTTCAGTATTTCACAAAGACAGGAAAATATATTTTGTTCAGTCAAAACAATTTTGCTCTATGTCATCCGAGAGCCAACCAAAGTGACACCTTCCAGTAAGAAGAGAGGGCTGTAAGGTTTCGATAGACTTTTAGAAAGTGTTTGCTAGTCACTGAACTATGCTAGGCATCGCAGCCTTTTATGACGGCCTCTGTCCTCATAAACAGATGATTCACATTGTCCAAACTGTTTAAATGAAGCAGAAGCTGCAATATGAGCAACGCTATCCTATATATTGTTTGCTGAATTTAATTAATCTCCGATAACATCATCAGATTCATCAGGTCTAGATTTTGAAAATATGGGGTGGGGGTACAAACCAAAACCTCACTTGCCTTACAAAGTCAGACAAAGGGAATAATTTTGCATCTACACAAGTTCCTTGAAGTTTTATTTTTCTCATTTTTTGATACTAATAATTCTCTGGCATGCAGTGAACCATTTCGCTTAATTATTTTGTAGGATCTGTAAGGTTCCCATGTAGAGAGTGCGTGTATATACACACACACAGACTGATGCAGATTTGATTTGTTTTGATAAATACAACTGCACATTATAGGACGCCTCACTGGGTCAGACAGATCAACCCTTTCCTATCAGAGACTCAATTTTTAGATGTTAAAAGTCAAACTGCTATGCATCATACCACCATGCTTCAAGCTATACTTAAATCCTATGCTCATTTAAATACATGTTCAGAACTTCATTTTCCTCCTCCAAAATACTTCACTAATATTCTAGTTATTAAGCTCTGGTAAGAAAACACAAATGGAATTTCTAAAGCGGAGGGGGTTCAGCCACAGAGAAGCCCTTCTCACAACCACCACCCCAGGTGTCAGGCCGCTCCCCACTGCTGCCATACCAGTGTGTATTTTTGACACAAATTTAGCTTCAGGGAAGCATCCAAACTACAATTCTTCATGCAGGTGCAAGGAAGAATTTCTGAGCTGCTGGAACTTCTGAATGCCTTTCCTGTCAGCTACCTCTAGTTTTACAGCAGGGATGAATCGTTCCCTCTGCTTTTCACAATAAACCCAAAGATCAATTACTCAGCAAACAGAACAGCAAACTGGAATAAGAGATTTCCGGTAAACCAGATGACACCGGGGGGGAAATTTTCAAGGAGAACAAGTAGCTTCTCAATAATGCTGCATGATCAAAAATCACTTTAGAGTTAGATTGAGGTGTTACAAACTGTGGTGATGCTGAGCGTTCAAGTGCCTGCCTTCCCCCTGCAACTTGCAGGCTGGAGCTTTGGGGGCTGCCTGCACAGCCCCTAAGAAAAATGAGGTATCTCCAGCATTCAGAAGGGCTACTTATGCAAGACAGATGCTGTCGTGACTAGGATATGCTGAAAAATATACAGTCACACTTGATAATTCACAGGCAGAGAAGCATTAGCAACAACATGTTTTTGTTTTCAGTCAGGTTCACATCCTATGAATATGGTTCAAATAATTCCACATACGAAAAATTCCCATGAACTTGCAGATGGCAATGAATAGGAGATACTGTATCACCTTTTGCACCTCCATCTTTTATTTACAATTAACATATTTGGATTTTACAAACTGAGTATATTCTACCCCTTTCACATTCCTCCTTTCCTACCTCCAGTTCTCCAGAGAAGCGTGCTCAAACTACAGAGATCACAGTTGGAATAAATTTGATAGCACGAAGGAATGTTACTGCTTTTATGGAGACGTGAATTTTTAAAACATGCATTGATTGTTAATGTATTAACATGCCTGCTATTGATGCTACACAACTTTTAGAATGGGACAACCACTGAACAGGAAGGGCATAATAACTCAAAGCCTGCAGCCACTCGTTGCAATAGATGGGAATGGAAGGAATTTTGTTGCAAAGAATTTTAAAAAGCCACTTGATGCAATTGGGAAAACGAGAACATGAAATGTAAAATACTTTTGTTCTTCCTAGGACTAGGCCTGCTGCAGTCTTTACAAACTGTTCGTATGTCATCCAATGGCATACAACAGATTGATCTGAATGATTTTCAAAACTGTTCACAGCTGAAGGACATCGACTTGCAAAACAACAAGATAACTAAAATTCATCCAGACGCCTTCAGGGATCTCAACAAATTACAGGTTGTAAAGCAATATTACAACTGTTTCAATGTTTTGTGTTAATCACCATTAAAGATATTAATTATCAACTATTCAGCATGATTATATTGGTCTTTTTTATATTAGTATACAGTTATAAAAACTAAAGCAAATGGTGAATAGAATCATTATTTTTATAAAATACGTATTTGCTTTTCATATATAGGAAAACACACACACTTGTAAATATACAAAATATAACCATAAATTCACCATTTATCTATGCCGGAAACCAATCCATAACTGGCTTATACATGCACACATCCTTTTCTAACCCCATCCCTTCCATGGTGAGAACCCTGCGGCTTCCCGTTCACACAGAGGTAGACTACAACAGGAGAATTCTAAATATACCACAATTTAAACTTTTCATTTAAATTAAAAGGTTTAGAACAATATTCTTGAAATCCTAACCAGATGTATTGTTCCCATAACTGCAAAAGTGCTTGTATACTAAAATAAATGTTATTGTTGATATTGCAATTAAGATTCCGTCGTAAGGCTTATGAAATTAATCCTGAATTCTTTCCAAATAGGTTGTGGATCTCCGTGAAAATGCTCTGACAACCCCTCTACCACAGATATTACTCAGTCTGAACTTCTTTCAACTTGAAGTGGATTTGTCAAATAATGCCTGGATATTTAACTGCAGACTAAATGCTTTCAAACATTTATTTCATTTTCTTTTTGACTCCACGAGGAAAAGATTGAGTATTTCATACAATAAACCTGCCAACAACTCAGAGAAACCTCTGCTCCATCTTTCAAGTTTCCATTTAAACTGCAGCGACAGTGTTTTGCTCAAGAGGGCTGTAATCCCAACAGGGAAGACATTGGTGCTAAACTGCAACTTGGACAACACAAGGGGTATGTAAAACAGGGACTCCATCCATATGCCGCTAAAATCCAAATGCATACAGAATGATCACAGAAATCTGGTTTAAAAAGTGGATTTCTAAAGATGCTTTTTAAAAATAACTGAACAACAATTTAATATGCAAATTATTTCATTAGAAAGTATACCAGTTAGAATATTTGAAACGTCACATTTCCCCAAAGAAGTCTTTATCTCCTTCCTTACATTAAACTAGTAAGCGATGCCAAATTATACACAAATAAATTTCAGTAAGTAGTACGTTGCAAATTTACCAGTTAATTTTGGAATGCAAACAAAGGACCGAATAGCGGGGTGGCACGTCTGGGACATGTAGAAAATGGAGAAGGATACAAAGTGTTTCTAGTATTCAATTATAGCAAAATTAAATGAAAGTTTATTTGCAAGGGAAAGTATTTGTATTTCTTCCAAAGAAGTACAACTACTGTAGCACACAGTTCACTTAGGAAATGAATTCAGCATTTACAGTTAATACAGAGCACTTGAGGTAAAAGTGACAAAATCTACAGAGCTAAGACTTCCCATGCAGAAGGAAAACTAAGACCAAACTTAAGAGTAGAAGGTGTATTTGTCATGTGCCATTAGGCAAAATGGTTTAACTCTAATGGACTAATATAACTTTGAGGTGCTAAGGCTTTCTCCTTGCAACACTTTATCCCCAAATCAAAATATGTAGGGTCTATCAGAAATGCCACCTGCTTTGTCTATTAACAAGGGAAGTCACAGAAACTCTGATCATGGAATTAAAATCAATACACTGGATTGCACCAAAACTCAACAGGGAATGCAAGCAGATCCAAAGGCAAAGGTGTACATACAGCCTCGAAACATATTCCAGAAGCCAACAACCAGCCATGGCCTACATGCGCTGAAGTTTGGAACAATTGCTCAGTAGATACAAATACCCTTGTTTTTCAAATCTTTTTGCTGCAAAGCAGTAACTACAGGAAAATCACAGTGGTTGAAACACTGACAGTGAACTAATGAAGTTTTATCTCACAGCTGCACGCAGTGACCATGGCCATGCTGGAGAAGGGCTGGCTATGAGTATGGATCTTCCATGAGGGAGATCAGCAGGTGCTTTTAGCATGACCCAGAACATACTTAGGTAATTTCAGTGACCTCATCCCTCACCCACACCATTTTTCTTGTGAAGTCTGCTATTAAGACCCCATACATACTGTGTTTCAAATGTGGGAGGGAAATATATGATGGTTTAACAGATACTTGGTACCATGTAAAATGACTATGAATAGATAAAGAGAAAATGGATTTTATAATAAATAGTCAAAATTATCAAAGCTAGGTCAGAGTATGTTCTTATAGAAATAACTTGACCCTGCAAACCAGGTATCTTATACTTCTAAGAAAGATTTAGCTTGTATTTTCTTTTATTTCAGGTAATGGAGTCTCTTGGTGGACACCTAAAGGCAGAATTTCAGAAGATAATAGTCTTCCTCATATGACACTGGATAAAATGAATAATTTAGTGATATATAATGCTGAGAAAACTGCTGAAGGGTTGTATTTGTGTATTTTTAATGCAACAAACAAGAAGCATCTCATCTACAATATACAGGTGAAAGAAAGGGTTCCAACGGTTTTGGTTAGAAAAGCCCGGGACACTAACACTGTTTTTAGACAAGGAATAACAGAGCAAGACCTTACATTGGCTGTCTGCCTCTCTGTGCTCATTACGTTTATTTGTGCTTTTTGTCTGGGTGCTTTTGCTAGACCCTACCTTCTGAGCCTGTGGAGACTCATGCGTGGGAACAAAAATTCAGGTTCAGAACATACATATTGTAATCAAGCTTTTTCAGATGAAACCTTGAGCAGAGAGCGCTCTGCAAGCAAATCAACAAATACACAGCATAATTTGTTCATTTGTGATGAGAATTCTTCAAGAAACACATGCATTTTTCCTACAGAAACTTCTACTTTGCATGAAAATATCATTGGTAGCAGTGTACATACACCAAATACTGAAGAAGAGTACCAGAAACAAAGCAATAATGAGATCAGTGTGAAGAAAGAAACAGTGTTTTCAGACATCAAAACTAGTATCAGCAATGATGAAAATACAGAAGTTGGTGATAATGGACTATTTTCTGTAAGGATAGATTACAAGAACAGCAATGAAGTAACACCAAGAAAATTAATGAGTAATGACATTTCATGGAAAGATTCAAAATATGCAAATAATAAAGACTCAGAAAAGAGCAGGTTCCCTCCCGTACCCAGTAGACTGAATGCTGACTCTTACTCAAATCACACCGACTCTTCAGATTCAGATTTATCCTTCATGGGTGAAACTGGCTTTCCATTTTCCACAATACAAACACATACAGTTGCACAAGATTCTAGGAACAGCAAGGTGAGCAACAACTCTGGTCTGCTGCAGTCTGAAATCACAAAGGCTACGCCACATTCTCCAGGAAGAAAAGGCATCATTTCCCATAATGAACCCATAAGCACTACAAAATTCATGCCTGAAAGGCAAAGCTGTGATGAACAACTTGGTCTAAGCAGCAACACAAATATAACCAGGGATGTGCAAGATTTTATTTTATCCAGCAGCTGCAAGAAAGATACAAATATTGAGAATTTAAGTGTCTATCAAACAATAGAAAACTCTCCTCTTAGAGAGTATGACTGTAAAATGGAACGTACAAATGAAAAAGATTCTTCAGCAGATATATTTGGCGATAGTTCTTCGGATGAAGGGACTCCATTCACAATGAGTGACTGTAGTTCTTTAGCAGACTTTGAACTGGAACAACCTGGTGTTAGTGACAACCTGCCAGTCTGCCAGTTGTCACTAGAGGAAGCCGATATGAACAGTGGAACTGAGAAGTTCTCAACACTGCCAGAGTCTCCAAACATTGCTGCTGAACTTCAGCATATTACGAAAAATGAAGACGAGAAAAATGTGTATTTTGAAACCACTATTAATTATGGATCAGATACCACCACGCCTGAAACAGCATCACCTTACGCTGATAAACGTAGTGACCACGTAAGCATGTCAGATTCAGACACAATTAGTTCTTCAAGTCAAGAAGTTCCTGATACGTTTGATGATTTTACTAATGCAGAGTCGACAGTACAAAATCCTATTTCTGATTCTCTCCACAATCAAACTAGAGATTTTAGTAATATGTTACTTCCATTAAAACATTCTCCCATGTATGACACAGATACAGAGGACACTCCTGAAGAGGCTGAACTGCAGCTGTATCTGCTTCCCACTGAACCACAGCATTCCCTCAGCTTCAGTCCCACTGAACAAAAAGAAAATGCACCAGAGGGAAGTACAGACGAGCACATAGATAGGAAATCCTCTGAAAAGAATCACAGTGAAGGGGACACTACAAGAAGAAACACGAGTACATCTGAAGACAACGATTTTATTTTTGCTCCTCCCATTGATACTGGTTTGAATGAAATTGTTAAAAAAACATCACTACTGCATTCCAGCAACGAATCTTCTCTTCAATCTCTGCCTGAACACACAGCTGAAAAACATTTTACAGTTATTACAGAGAAAGAAGACTTGCTACCACAGGGGAAGCAGGTGAACACAACTAAGGCTTGTGCAGATAAAATGCAAAGAGGTTTTAATGAGAAAAACTGTGATGAATACACAGAATTACAGGATACCAGCAACTGTAGTCTGCCCGCAGAAATGCAGTCTTGCAATCTTACAGCAGATTTGCTGCATCTTCATTCTTCTGGGAAAACACAATCAGTCTTCAATACAGAAGATCATTTCCAACTGGATCAGAGTGACGAGGATGCATATTCCTTCTCAGTCCCACAATACTTCTTCAATGAAAGCACAAGATACAGTTCGTGTTCATTCCCACAAAAGAATACAGGAAATACAATCTCCGAAAGCACTGATTCCAGCAAGACAGAGGATGACACTGCTTTGACAGGACTGAAGAACAATTCTGCAACAGCTGTCAACCTCCAAAATTCAAGTGAAAAACTCAGTCAAAAACATCAGACCAATTTAGGACAGGGCCAGTTTTTTGTTAAGAAGAAAAGAGCATTTGATGGATTTGCTAATGTTTTGCAAAGCACGAGAACAAAATTCAAATAGTTGAGACACGAAAGTGTAATACTAAGCTCCCACAGTGTTTATGTCATAGAGGAGGTGCAAAAATGATTGTGTCTTAAAATGAAGCATGTAGCTTTTACTAACTGTTAAATACCATGGGTTGTTTTTGGTTTGGTCGTCCCCCATCCCCGTCCCTCCGCCCCCAGTACAACTACCTATCTGCCTTTAACTTCAGAAATCCAAGTTATGGAACTAGACTTAACAATGAGATGTATAAAGCCTGGATCCATCCAGTTTAAAACCACCATAATTCCAAAGGGTAATACAAGCTAGAAGCCATGGACTTTTGTTTAGAAGGGTACTTGTAAAAAAAACAAGAATAGATTTTTACGAAAAACAACTCTGGGATACTCAAATGAGTAAACTACTCAGTAGTTATAAACTGATAATATAGCTTTTGCTCAGCAATAGTAATAATATATATTTCTCATTATTGTTGGTAATAAGATACTAGTTTCCCCTAGTATTTGCCTCCAGTACACACTGTTTTCTCTTTGTTGAAAATAAACGTAACACTGAAATTATCATTACATTACTGTGTTTTCCTGTGGGACTCACCCTATACAGTACAATAGTACATATTACTGTCTTCTGCTTTTTGAACCAAATTTGTGGACTAAGTGTCTCTGAATTCCCACAGTTTTGCAAAGATAGGTAAAGTCTAAGCAGTATTCAATTACATTTAAAAAATTACTTTTTAACTTGGCAAGACAGAGAGAGTAATGAAACCCTTCTTTCTCAAAGAAACACAATAGAATTCAAACCTTGCAGAAAAGTCATGGAGATCTAGCTGCTGATGGGACATCACCTGTAGTTTGCAGATGTGATGTCATGGGCAAGGTAATTAAAAAAAGACAACCTATTATTACTAAGCTATAATTCCCTATAAAAAAGAATCCTACACCCACTTCAGAGTTTTACTGAGAGGGGCAAATCAAGAGCAGCTCAAAACTGCTGTATTAGAATATCAATAGTTTGATATACAGTAACTTTTTCTAAGCCAAAAGATAACAAATGTAAGATGAAATTTTCTCTGAATATGGCCCAAGGCCCTTTTAACACACACAGTACCATTGATGTAGTCCTTGAAGGGGACTGTCATCACAAAAGGGAACAGGCCCAGGTTCCCACAAAATACAGGAGCCTGGCCAGCAGCTCTGGGAAAACTCTGTTATGAAGACACAATTAATTCACTAAAAACTCTGAACAGAAGGAACATATTTCAATTTCATCAGATGAGGAGCAATTCCAGTGGCACAGTACATCTTTGAAACTATCTTTAAAGAGAAAGCTAGGAAAGAACAAAGAGATGCTGAAAGAAGCTAGTAACTTCTGTTAGCTTCACGTACTTGGAACTGAAAAAAAGCATTGCAAAAAACTTTAGAGGCAAGTAAAAGCAACTGAAGGAGACCAGTACTGGTATTATTTGATCTTTCAAAAAATATTTTCTTTAGTGCCTCGAGTTCCTTTTAAGTCATTGTTTTTACACATCTAGCATCACAATTATCAGTTACATATTTACTGAGGCACGCCACCTATGCTTAGATCTCTTATTGGTTTGTTTGGGGTGTTTTCTGGCTGATTTTCTCAAAATCCCTAACATAATTCAAAACAGATCATATGACAGTTTCAGGTGCGTATTGCACGGATTTGATTTAGGTCACCACAGTATTTGCAAATAACTGCACTCAGTAACATCTGCAATTCAATTACAAGCAATGAATCTGCTGTTATTCACACAGATCTTCTTGCTTTCCAATTAGTTCTTGGAAGGTTTCTGTTCTTTTTGCTCCAGTATTCAGTGGTATCTAAACTGATAACTAAGAAGTGTTTTTTAAGAGCAGGTACTGTGTTCGTTCCTTCAGCAGGAGTTCACTCAGGAACCAAGGATGAAATAATCTTCTGAAGAAACTGATAATTTGTCATTGAATTGTTCATGACTTAAAGGGTCTGATTTTGTTTTCTGTTTTTCAAACAGAGGAAAAAGAAGTTTTACATATTCAGCTGTCCAGAATTGTTCATACTGTCCAAGTAGACAAGAACTGAATGACAAAACACTCCATTTGGCAAAAATCACAGGATTCCCAGAAAAGTTAAAGAAATAGTAACTCTAAAATTAAGTATGTTTCCCAATACAACTCATTCCTTGATTATATAAACGTCTGTAAACGTTATACCCTGTTCTACTGCAATTTTTCTCTCCTAATCCCCACATAGCCTCAATAGTCATGTAATGCCTTGGCTTCTTGTGAAATTAAGGCTGCTGTTCCCAGAGAACAGCGTGTGACATAAAAAACCAACTGTGTTTTTAGAGGCTGTCTAGAAGTAAAGAACTAGGTAATTTGAGCATGATTCCTCACAGGAACAGCTACATAGCCACCAGGAGCAGAAAACAACAGTATTTCCTCACCACCAGTGCTTTTCTTTGCACCCATAACCAGCTTTCAGTAAAGCTCATTATACACTGAAGTCACCTGTGGCCAAAGCAACTTTAAAAATGGAACACAAAGTTCAGACTTGCTCTTTATGGTATGCATGAGTCTTCACCATGTTGACAGACTCTCCAAGGTCTGTTACCTTTTGGCTGTACCAGCTGCTAACAAGTTAAGAAATTTAACTACATAAGCAAGCCAATTTTGTGGAACATGGGGAAAAACAAAATATTTGAGTGGCTCTATTGAGATCTCATACACAGCAACGTTTTGTCATTTGGTTCTGCTACAGTTCAGCAGACTCTCAAAATATATATTGGAAAATCATTTTCTCATCTTTTTTTCTGACTATGGGAATGCTGCAGTGGCGACAGAGAGAGTATACACTACTTGTGAGAAGCTGCAAGTTTTCTAAGCCTCCCTTTATGCCATGAAGTTACAGAAAAAGATTATCTGCTGTTCTCTTCAGAGAAAATACATTTGCTCCTTCATCAAGGGATTTTTAACATGTGAAAAAGTATTTCATTCTACTGTCAGAATACTGATGTTCTGCCTCAAACTTACCTTCAGATTTCTGCCTAATCTTGCACCTTTCTTTTGCTACTGATCACTCCAGACACTCTTATTACCACTTGTTCATTCAAACCAACCACTCTGCTGCTTCTCCTTCATATTAGTCCCTCACTTCATTAGCAATTGCTCTTAAAGTTAATACAAACCCTTTTATATTTTCTGTGGCTTCCAAGCAGTACTCTTCATACTCTGCTCCTCTCCATCCACCCTATTTCTCCATGCCCTTCTGTATACAATGGCTACACAGTCCCCCACTCACCGCCTCCAACTTTTTATCCACTCACTTTTCTTTACATTTCAGCTGATATCAATCCACTGTATCTTGTTCACACCGAAAACCTCACTAGTTTAGCTGGTTTGGTCACTGAGAATTTTCCAGAATACCTATACTAGTACAAAACACCACCCCACCCCCACCGCATAGAAGTTACAGTTGCAGAGAGGCATAAGGGCAACCGCTCCACGGAGTTGAAACTTCTTTAGCTTCATCAGTAACTTCAGGTAGCAAAACTCGTGTTCAGGTAAGACTTACGTTACTATCACAGTTGATAGTGGGTAAACACACCAAGTCACAGAATAGGCTCGATAAAAAAAAGGTGGCTGAGTGTATGCTGTATGAATTTGTAAATGAAGCATCATGAGGCAGCCAAGAGAATGTTGGTGATAGTCTGGGCACACCCTTCTCATAGAGCAACGGCATGCTGAGCTCCAGGGTTGACAGGACATAGTATCCCTCATACAGTGAATTAGTATAGGAAAAAATACTGAAGTCTTAAGAGTAGATTGAGAACTTCAGATACAGTAATCGGAATGAAACAAAGCTCTCATTTTCAAACACATATTTATGATACTTTGATAAAAGTACAAAGCATTTCAATCCTTCCAGAGTACACTGATAACTGGGCTGGAAACTAACCTTTAAATATAAAGAAAAGACATTCACATTTAATCTACATATAATTAACATCAGAAACTATTTGGATAGTAACATTAAAGTTTTCACGGTACAGAAGACTGTGACTCACTCCCTCTGATAAATACAAGCAGCAGGCTACATTCTGGGAACTAGTGAAAGCAATCCCAGCCTCAACATGAACATAATGAAGAACCACTTCTTTAGAATGGGGTCTACATTACAATATTCTAATTGTAATGCAAATACATACAACTTAAAATATTATTTTAAGTCAAGAGCCTTAGGACTGGTAGCTCAAATAGTGCAAAATACTAAAAAAAAAATTTCTTGTGAAATCTCTTACATGTGTTCTTTATTCTCTTTGCCAGCTTGTAAGTCTGTTTCCTATTCAAAAAGAGATTTGTAACTTTGCAAGCAATACAAAGTAGTAAGATTAACTAATGGTCCCTTTAAAAACTAAATTTATGAATGTATTATGGACATTTAGGCTGTAATTTTCATGTCTTATTGCTAGCAGCTTTTCTACTGCTCTGCTTAAATACTATCACTTTTTCTTCAAAAGGATGAACGTGACAGCTGATTACAGGTCCAATGATTGAAAAATTCTTCTAAAAGAAAAGTAAGAAAAACACAAGTGTTTAAGGTCATGAACAGATCCTCAGATCAAAATATCACCCCATTTAAATAGTACTAGGCCGGTCTTCTCTTCCAGCATTACATTTGAGTAACTTAAGAGAATTTTCTTTAGCACATGCTTTTTAAAATCACAGAATCACAGACTGGCTGAGGTTGGAAGTGACCTCTGGAGGTCGTCTAGTCCAAGGCCCCTGCTCAAGCAGGGCCACCTAGAGCCAATTGCCCAGGACTGTCTCCAGATGGCTTTTGAGTATCTCCAAGGATGGAGACTCCACAATCTCACGGGGTAACCTGTGCCAGTGCTTGGTCTCCCTCACAGCAAAGAAGTGTTTCCTGATGTTCAGAGGGAACCTCCTGTCTTTCAGTTTGTGCCCGCTGCCTCTGGTCCTGTCACTGGGCACTGCTGAGAAGTCTGGCTCTATCTTCTTTACACCCTCCCTTCAGATATTTATATACATTAGTAAGATCCCCCCAGCACCTTCTCTTCTCCAGGCTAAACAGTCCCAGCTCTCTCAACCTTTCCTCATAGAAGAGAAGCTCCAGTCCCTTCATCACCTTTGTGGCCCTTTGCTGGACTCTCTCCAGTATGTCAGGGTGTCTCTGGTACGGGGGAGCCCAGAAGAGGATGCAGTACTCCAGGTGTGACCTCACCAGTGCTGAGCAGAGGGGAAGGATCATCGCCCTCAGCCTGCTGGCAATACTTTTTCTAACACAGACCGGGATACCATTTGCCTTCTTTGTGGCAAGGGCACACTGCTGGGTCAACTTCAACTTAGTGTCCACCAGGAACCCCAGCTCCTTTTCTGCCAAGCTGCTTTCCAGCTGGGTGGCCCCCAGCAGATACTGGTGCATGGGGTTGTTCCTTCCCAGGTGCAGGACTTTGCACTTCTCCTGGTTGAAGTTCACGAGGTTCTTGTCAGCCCCTTTCTCCCTTTCAGCCTGACGAGGTCCCTCTGGATGGCAGCATGACCAGCCACTCCTTCCAGTTTGGTGTTGTCAGCAAACTTGCTGACAGTACACTCTGTCCCATCATCCAGGTCATTAATAAAGATGTTGAACAGGATCAGACCCAGCATTGACCCCTGGGGTACAGCACTAGTCACTGCCCTCCACCTACACTTTGCACTACTGACCACCACCTTCTGGGCCCTGCCATTCAGCCAGTTTTCAGTCTACCTCACTGTCTGCTCATCCAGCCCATACATCAACAGCTTTTCTATGAGGACCTCATGGGCCAAAAGCCTGGGTCAAGATGAGTCGGTAATGATCATGCTTCTTGTAAAATTCCATCTTAAGAGACATTCCTGCTCAAATTGACTCTTTTTGTTGAAAGCTTTTCTATTATGATACTGTTTTACACCCACACACTCCATTTCAAACATATATTTTTCCAACAAAGTTTTAAATACTGATTTGCCTTACTATTAGAAATAAGGATGGCAAGATTGTACATACAAGTTCTCTGCTACTAAATGATAAATGTTGCCAGCTGACGTAATACATGTTCAGATACGAGAATTTCTAAAGTATGAACCACAGAAAAATCTGAAGTCAATTGCTGAAACCAACACAAATACTGTTTATTTGTGGGATGCCATTTTACATCAACACCAGCAAAAGACCTAAAAATCAACCGGATGAACTCATGTTAGGTGGCATAACAGTATTTTTGTCAGGTCGTGAGTCACAGGAGTTTAGCACACCGTATTTATGTAATATCCAAATAACTAAGACGTAAAGCATTCACAGTTACAGGTTAACTGCTGTTCCTGCAACAGCAGCATCAATAGGTACTATTTTGTGACACCACATGTACACACACACACACACAGCGGGGTGGGGGAGGGTGGGAAGTATCAAGCTGAGTTTTGGTCTCAATTACAGACAACAAACTATTTAGTTGGTGGATGGATTCTATACACTTTTACAGCAATATGAAAGGACAAAATATAAGGCCTAGAAAGAGGTATTTTAGCAGTCATAATTAAAACCAGGGCACAAGCTAACCTTTAAAGCTGTCTATATGAATTCCAAGAGTATTAAACAATTTGTTAGACTTGTGACCAAGGGTCAACAGAAATCTGGGAAAACCTTAACACAACTGAAGTCCACTTCTTGTCCTTCAAAAAAGTAACCTGGGAACATTAACCAAGTAGCAATGAGCTGTAACTAATTCTGATTGTGTGAGCATATTTGTGATGAAATAAAATGCATGTATTTGTGGTAAAATGGGAGAAGCCTCCAGTCCTCTACAATGGTAGAAAAGGCTACACAAAGGTAGCTCAAATATTTATTGTAGCTTAAAGACAACCTTAAACAGGTTTTAACTGAAAACTCAACTACATAAAGGATTCCAATAAATTCCATCCTCTTCAGCTTGCCTTCCTTGAAAACGATAAAAAGTGACAAAATATCAGTTACACAGAATTACATTAATATTTGAAATAATATTATTTTGCTGTAGAATGAAATTTAATTTGTGGGATGTTTTGGTTACTAATATTCATAGAATCATTTAGGTTGGAAAAGACCTTTAAGATCATCGAGTCCAAAGAGCTCCAAATGTTTGGCATCTATCAACTTACAGTGTCCACTGCTGTAGTCTCTGGATGCTCTTTTCCTTTCACTAACTGGCTTTCCACTTTACACCTCCCAAATAGCAAGCATGAATTGCATTTAGATCATCAAGTTTCTGCTATAAGGACAGTAATAGTACACCAAAAACATTAGCATAAGACCCGTGACACTTCTGCCAGAATGACCTCTCAGTGTCTTGTCCAAGAAGTCAGCATATTCTGTATATTACTTTTCAAAAGGAAAAAAAAAACAAAAAAGCCTACATCAACTATATGATTGCATAACAAACAAAAAAGCAAGCACCAAACTTGTACTAAATATAAGGTAAACCGAGTAGCTTAGTTATGTTTCCACAATTATTTAAAAATGAGAGGGAATTTCTCCAAAATACAAGAGCTGGCAACGTTAGGATCTTCTGCTTATCAGCATACATAGCAAAAACAGATGGATGGATAGCACAGGGAAGCTTATCAAGCCATACGGGTCCATTTCAGTCCATTTGTTCTCTATAAATGTGAGTAAAGCTGTCTACTAGCTCTAACTGAATTTGTGGTTTATTTTATGAAGATGCATGTTTATAAACCAGCTGAAGACTACAGATTCATCCTGCTTGCAAGTGGAAGAAAAAAAATCTGCAGCATCTATCTGATTCATTTCCAAACACATTCTTCCTTTCCATCACTCCCCATTACTTTTACCCAAAGAAAAAAAAAAAAGTTTGTTTACTTATACAGCACGAGTACTTTCTGAGGTTTCTTTTCCTCCATTTTCTTTGCTTTTAATTAAATTTTGTGTTCTGCTAATTGTTAGCAAAACTTGGAAAAAGAGCACCTGGTTGAGCTGAACAGATTTCTGTTGACCCTGTTATATGAAAGTTATACCTATAACAGTAATAGATTAAAAGTCTCTTTGGCTCTTGCTTCCATTCTTGGAAGCCAAATTATTTGTGACATACAAAACCTTTTATGCAAGCCTTGTATTTGTTGCAGGATTCATGCCAATTAGTGCTAAACATTTTTCTAGAGTCAGTAACTAGCTTAACGTTTAAGAAAAATTACAGTATTTCACTTATATCTTAGCAACCACAATTTAGCCTAATGTTACAAGTTATATTGCTTCTAAATTCATTCTTTTAAGAACTAAACCAGCAGCTCCACTGATATTTCCTTACGGTTATACTATGGTAATATACACATTTACATCAGAAGTCTTAATAAAACATATGTGTTTTAGTAAGAGGCTTATTGTAAACATTAAATACCACACTCCACTGAATTAATTCTTGTGCAAACTGGCATCAAACATGGAATTAAGTTTATGCGTATTAGTACATGAGAAAGCAATGACTACGTATGTTTTACCATTATTAACTTTAAAGAGCGCTATTTAGTGTCATGGAAATCCGAACATGACTATTTCAAGGGGAAAGGTAGTATTTTCTTCTTAGCATCATGAAATTCTAGGTTTTGTATATGCATACCTATTGTATATTTATGTATATACAAATATACACAAACACACATAAACGATTTTTGTCTTTGGCAGCTGAGTTTGACAAACAAAAACCAACAACAACAACAAACAGATTTGAACACAACTGACCACCTGTAGCACCACAATTACAACCTCCTGGTCCAGGACAGCAAATTAATGTGCTTTTGCTAAACCAGGCTTAATCCTGAAAGCAGTCAAGTTAATGACAGTTGTTCCCGACTTCAGTGATGGCAGAATAGGACCCTCAATACAGCTGAATATTTCACATTCAACCTAAAACACTTCCCCCCCCTTCCCCTGGATTGCGTTCTAGAGAAATATCAAAACTGCCAATACCTTGTAAAATATTTCTACAGAAAAGTAATGTTATTCATCGTTCCAAAACATCCACTGGCCCTTTTTTGTTAAATGCTCTGTGAATCAATATGGAACATTTTAATAAATCCTTAGGGATCAAAGTATAATAGCACCGGATACTTCAAGGACCTATTTATAAGACTCAACACTAACACTACTTAATAAAGAAGGGTAAGGCAAAGACAAGGTGACAAAATTACAGAACTTAAACATCATTCCATTCACTCATTTTCACCAAAACAATCACTAGAACTGTCCTACACATATAAAGAAATGAGTGAAATAGGCAGTGGTCCTTACTAAAAAGTAGTGTCATTTAATGCTGGTGTTTAACATGCCCATTGCCTGCAACGGACATTCTGCTAGGAAATTCCAATCCCCAGCATGAAAATAAAAGTAATGTTTTGACTATTTGCTATCATATTTTTAATTACTTAGAAACACAAAGTTAGAGACCCTGGGAAAGACTAGTGTTGCAAACAAAAAAACCCCAAACCTGTATTATCTATGTGCCAGGGGTGAGCAGACTTTGTTCCCCAAACAACTTATTTTAGCTAGAACTTTCAATTTCACTAGATCACAACATAGACCAGACACTCTTGGTACACCAAAAATTAAGAGTATGCCAAAGGCAATTTACGAAAGTCTAAAACCCATTTTTAAAAGGTACTTTAATTTGTTCATTTGTACCTATAATGACTACTGCAGTTTTAACATTAAAAAGTCAGTACTTTTTTCTTCAAATGGAAATCATCTGTGGCATGTACAACTATTACAGTGTTTTAATATTTATATGTATATATGTATATATATTTTTTTTTTTTTTTAAGACACCAATGTTTCATTCTTGTTAAGCAATAGGTCAGGTTTGGCGAACTCCGGTGAAGAAAGTCACAGCATGTCTTCTCCCCTCAGAAATTGGCATCTCAAATACTAACATTAAAATTGACAATAGTTCTTCACATGACTATGTCTAAGCAGTCTGTTCATTTCATTTTCTCAAATGTTACGTTTGCGACCAAAAGAAAAACAAAATAACTGAAGTTTCAAACATGTAAGTGATGACTAGAAATATGCCACAAAATTATTTTTACAATACATTTCTGCAGAAATAATCCCTAGGTGAAGCTTTTTTTTTTTTATACACATATACAAAATTTAGACAGCAATATACACATAATCACAGTGAAGACGCTGGCAAGTTCACCAATTCGTAGTGTAAATACAAAATGCAAAGCAGCCTTCAAAGAGAACAATGCTACACAGCAAGCATAGCTAGCTTGTTAAATAGCAAACATCAAAAGTTCCCTGCAAAAGGGATGCAGTGCAAGAAAAGCAGCATGCACTTTGATACAAATAGCAGTTTATGGCTAATGGTTGACATAACTGTGGTAACAGTGACTCTTGAGTGGCTGTGCATAGTTAAACTTCTATGTCATCTGTTTTCCTTTATACCATTCCACAAACTCATCCAACAACACTGGCCCTGTAGAGAGATCAAATAACTGTATTTTACAAAATTTTGTAAAAGCACACTGAATGATTAAGCTCAGAGAAATAAATTTTTTTAGAACACCAACATATGGTAGTACTTACAGGCTCCATCTTCATCATAGTTACTGAGGTCAAGGTTAATTGTTCTGCTGAATTCAAGAACGTTACACCATTGGTCCTTATTGATAACTTTGTATTTTGATTGCTGCTTAAGGCAAGAAGCAGAAGTTACTAAAATATATTTTCAACTCCCTGAAATGCAGATTTTCTTACTGAAAATTTAAACCTTGTGATGAATTACTATTTAAATCTGCATGCCATCTAAAACTAAACAGGAGTAAAGAAACCGCTACATAGTCAAACTTGTGTTGAATAATTCCTGTTTCCGATTAAGACATATTTTAGTGGACAAACATATAGCAATAAAATGAAAGTCCAAAAGCAAATCAAAGACATTCTATACTGTGTCCTGCACTAAACAAACCTTAACAGAATGGGGTTTTGGGGAAAAGGAAGAAAGGTAAGACAACCAGTTACAAGTGCTACTTTGGGCGTTAGTATATTCTAAATCAAAACAAAAAAATCTTAGCTGTTCATTCTACCTCTAGTTAAAGTATCAGAATAGACAGATCAAAAAAAATGTAATTGTTTCAAACTTCGTACCTCTAGAAACTGGTGAAACACTGGGAAAAGGGACCATGTTTTTCCTAAAAGAAGGCCCAACATACACTTGGCAGTATTGATATCTAGGCTGCGCTGGTCCTTTTCCTGCATAAAAAGGAAATGGTCAAAACCGAAAAAAGAGCATGATTTCAGGATTTTTCACCTCCCCGACCACCTGTACCACAGCTCACCCATACATAAAATAAACTAACAAATAAATAATAAATAGCAGTATCTAACAGTGTAAGAAAACACAACTTCCTAGTAAAATTTCCTTCCTCATAGCTAATGGCTTTCTATACACAGATGTTGCTTTCTATTGACTTTCCCAAAAAACTGTCATCGCTATTGCAGATGAGGCATATGCTCCTGTTTGTGACTTCAGACCTTTCTAGAAAGCAACTGCCATTAGACCCATACCCATGTTTGCACATATGCCTCTGCATAGCTGTATGTCTCTTAAAATAGTATCGCTGCACATATTTCCTGCACTATTACAACTGTATGAACTGTCATTAGATAGTTAAGTAGCTATGAAGTAACACTGACTATGCAAGGGTGAGCCAAGGAGGTTCTTTGTTCTCTTATTCTACTGATTACATGAAATTCAGATTAAATTAATTATCAAATGAGCAGAGAGAACATAATATACTAGTACATGGAGACCCCTCTCAGGTAACTGTCCCAGTTTTAGTTCAATGTAGCAGCAGTATATTAAGGCTTATGGCATGATTTTTTTGTTTCTGTCAAGAGAAAGAAGCATCATCTGTACCCAGCAGACTCACTGCATCTAATCAGTGGGAAAGTTAATGTATTTGATAACACAGCTTCTGCACATCTCAAAAGTAACGCCTGTGCATGTAAGATTCCATTTTGTTATTTTAAGTAGTTTATCCATCTACATTTGTTGCCTTGAAATTAAACAAATTTTGGTGAGAGATGGAATGTAAAACCCCACCCTTTATTTTATGCCTTGGTTATAGCATTAAGCTACAAATTCAGAAATTAATGAAATCACAAAAAAATAAAGTTCCACATTAGCTACTGTAGACCTTGATCTCTCTATATGTATTCATGATTGCAGACTGCAAAGTCTAATTTAAGAAAAAACAGGGATATAGGGATATCCAGGATACAGGGAGTGCCTAATAGAACAGTGCAAGACAGCTACCCAAGACAAAGGGAACTGAGCCCTATGTCTCACCTGTACAAGTGCAGTTTTATGTATTACAGAATACACATCTTTATTAAAAAAAACAAGCTCAAAACATAACTGAATTGTCTTCTATCATGTAGGAAGGATGTGGTAGAGTGAAATCCCCATTCTCAGACAACAACTGAATGCCTTAGCCACAAGGTCATCCTCTCTTCTTGAAACCCATTTCACACAAAATACACCTCAATTCTAAAACTGTGTAGACAGGATTTAATGCAGATTTGTTTTGGAAGGAAAGTGGGGAGGCCAGTAACTCTGAAAACATCAGAAGCTGTTTTACATTCTGGTCACTAAATACAAGAGGGACTTCACTCAGTCTGATCTAGAAGAAAAAAAGTAAATTCCAGGACGAAGAAAGCTTTTCAATTAGTAATAAAGCTGAAAAACAAACCTGCAAAGGTGTTTTTTTATTAATATGATACAATTCTTTTGTTGTCTTCCAACATCAAATAGTTCCAAAAACTAAGTCTCTTTCCAAAGCCCATTTACACTTCTATCACAAACACCTTTAAGCAGATATCATACTGCTGTGAGAATACATTTGATTTTCCATACTGTTTATACTCTGAATTCTTCACACACATCCAAGTGTTAATGAAATCAGGCTCTGTTGCCTTTACTTTGGCCATGCTGGTTTTACATGCCTTACATTGTGAAGTTTCTACACTCTCCCTCTCAGACTACTGTTCAGAACAAATTGTTCAGATAAGCCCTTTATACCCACCTCCAACTGCCTAATGGCACATCTGCCATGACAGATGCTCCAATTTCATTCTTAACACGCATTCCAGATACTTATATTCTCTTTCTTGGATACAGTGGAAAGAATATATTAACAAACTCTGATAAATTTCAGTATTTGTTTTACACTGATCATAGACAGTCTTTCTGAGATTTTTTTCTTTCCCAATATTTCAGATAAAAGACCTATTTAAGCCATGAAATACATGCATCTGTATGTTCTCAAACTTGGCAATGACAATGGGGAACAGGGACCAAGGAATGTATTTGTGCTTAATACCAACATATGGTGTTTTAAATTATTTCCTCAAATCCATGCTGACTTAAATCGTGCATGCCACATAAAACCTCGATGATGCTTATTTTTATTGACAAACTAACTCTAAATACCAAATTACAACAGATGCTTTCAAAAATTCTCTCTTAAAACTTCAGAAGTTTAGAAAAGTGGGTTTTTTGCCACGGAGCATTTCCCTGAAATGATTACCCTTAGGATGGAAATTACACAATCTTCTGAATCAAAACCCAAAACTGCTCCCATCAGCTTTTTTATATCCATCACTTCAATTATTGTGATAAAAATTATGTACAGATTCATCTGCCACATCTAGATAAACTTATCAGCCCTTGTCAGCATTCACTGCTAGTCTTACTAGTTGCCATTCTCCTACAGACCTCCCCTGGCTCTATAGTATTAAAAGTTCAATAATTCTATTAATCCAATATTGTTTTGACAATTCCCTTGTTGATATGCCTTTGACTTGCAGTTTACAATCAGGGTTTTTTTGTCACAAATGATGTCACACCATCTGCGTCTCAATATTTAAGTTCTTTTTCAAGGCCACTGTTTGTCACATCAGTTTGGTACCTCTTGAAAAAACTCCACCCACCATCCTCTTTTACGTTTCTGCACTTACTTTTGACAGGCCATCAGCTGGTGCAGATTTGCTACTACTAAAACGTTTTTTAATCTATTCCAAATATTTCATCAGCATCTTGAACTTCTTTGGCAATGTTAGTTATTTCTAGCCTTTGCATTTTATGCTGAGCAAAACTGGCAGAATAAATCTTCACACAGCAAAGGAGGAATTAAGATGTGGATATGGCTTTTTTTCCTCATACTAACTAATACCATCCATTCTGTCATATTCAGCTGTAGGTTTCCTTGGTTAAAAGTGAGCTACCATGAATCTCTGCATGCTCACATGGAGAAAGCACTGATATACCACAAATCTGAGTTACTTATAACAGACTTAACTATCAGAATTGCTATCAGTTAAATTTCTTCTTATTATTTTTCTCATGTTACGTTTTTTGCTGCAAATTTTCTTGGTGCTTTTGGTTCTCCCGCACTGAAATCTGAGCTTCAGTTTTGCCTGTGATGATTTTTACGTTAAATCTCCTGCACATTCCATCACATTAGGAAGATGGGTGTCCAAATTCCATGTCAAAATGTTAATTCAGAAAATTGAAGTTCTTTTATTGTGCCCTTTAAGTAGGAATAGTCTTATGCATATTTTGGGTTCCAATACCAGGTACAATTTTATCAATACATATTTTATAGTAGGAAGACTGGTAGGAGGATATTGTTTAATAAATACTGAGAACATAATTAATGACTTTCCAACAGTCTTCTGAACCAGTATTTATATTATATCATGTCCAGCTTTTATCACGTTAGTTATTTTTACCACCTGCAGAAATGCCTGAAGTGCCCTCCTGTTTTAAGTATGTTTATGCTCACAAAATTCAAATGGTAAGAAGAAAAACCAGCATAATTATAAAGCCAGTGGCAGTAAGTGGCAAAGCTCCAATATGCAACAGAACAGAGCCTAAATTATTTCCTTGAAGTCACAAAATAGCTTGAAGCAGAGAGGTAACAAAACACATCAAAACACTAAACCACTGAACATCAAGCATGCTATTACTCTCCTTTTCCAGTTCTGGCATTTTGCATATACTTTTTTAGAACACAAACAGTTCCATTTGTTCAAAGCAATCTTGGGTGGTATCTTAAGAGAAACATACTCAGAAGTAGACAGTCTTTCAATTATTACTTATGAAAGTAAAGTTTTAATTTCAGATGCTGGTCTTCCACAGTACTTACCCGTGCAAAGTCAAATGCATATCTATAAATAAGTTTAAAATTGGTAGGCTCATTTAATAAAGATCTCAAGTAATCCAGAGAATTTCTCAATTTTTCTGTAGTATCACATCTACAAGAAAAGCACAAAGTCAATTTAGAGTCTGCATTCTTATACAGATGTCTGATGTTTTAGAAAAGTATCTTTAACACATATCCCCATCAATCTGTTCAAAATACATCACTCTCTACAAAGGCATGTTTATGAGTTTGTCTGCATAAAATGCCTTGATTAAACCCACAGTGTGTAACGGATTTAGCTAAAGTAGTAAAGTCTTACACTGGTACTCTGATAAAAATTTGTTTGGCTTTGTAGAAAATGTACTCTCCAACAGATTAAACCAAGAGCTTGTCTACACATGGCAAACAACCAGCAAACCACGGGAGTGAAACAATACTTCTATAGTTTTGCTGAAACTATGTAACTTCCTACACAGTTTTAGTGATTCTGTTCTGGAAGATAAGTGAAAACACAGGTCTTTCTCCAGCGCTCTCTGAAACATGTGATTAGTCAACTACATTTATGTTAATTATACCATGAAGGCAAGCTCTCAACTGAAGAAAGCAACTTTTAGAAAGAACATGGCAATGCAGCCACAGAAAGGGTTTGTATTATTTAGCATTTTAAACTACACATGCTCTAACAACATACCAATATCTAATAGATAGGTCCAATCCAGTGACAAAGATAGATGTCCTTGGGGACAGAAACAATGTTGAACTTCACGACATTTCTGTTTTCTTGAGACTGCAGACATTTTAATCCAACTGTATTTAAATGTGCAGCTGTCCGTTTTCAAGTTGTCTCTAAGTGGTCATACCACCATAAATAGGACCAAAAATGTATGGCTTCTACTTCACAGTAGAGCTCTCTGCTTTAGGTATTTTAAGTCAAAACATCAAAGTGTATTTTTTCTAAAAAAATGGGTTTACTATAACAAACTTAAGAGGTTTTTCAAAGCACTTACTGTAGCGATGTCATTCCTTTTAACCATTCTTGTAATGTAAAGTAGCCCATGTTTTGTGCATCCAACTTCCATGCTAGCACAAGCATAACTACCTGTTTTAAAGAGAAAAAAAAAAAAAAAGACTGAAAAGAATTAACAAAAAGATCCACACATTTTTCAAACAACTGCTGTTTAGTAGGCTACGAACGCTTTACTCGTATAAATGGGATGTTCAGATCTTTGCTACACTATTTTAAAAGTTAAAAACCCTGAAAGTGACAAACCTGTACACTATCCAAACAAAGAGAAGATAACAATGCAAAGATACAGAGTGAACATCCACCCAAGTTACCAGTAGCCACCTTACTTCAAGGGAGCATGCAGAGTCATCCAGTGAGCAGTGCAACGAGGAAGATGAGTTGGTGCAAAAGCTACAGAAGAGGTTTCCCAAAACAACTCCAAAATTTAAGTACCAATTTGACAACAAGTTACATAGGACATTTGTTAAACTCATCTAGCTGAGCAACAGTTACAATCCATGAGCTCTGTGAAATCCAATTATTCTAAAGCTAATAATGGTCCCAGCTGAATCCAGCTACCCCAGGGTACTGTCAGCCTACCTGATTTTGCAGGTCTGAACATGCAGTATAATTCAAGTAGATGTTAAGTAAAGCTAAGTGAGCTAACATTAACACACATCAGAACAGAGGCTGATACATAAATACTTCAGTATTGCCCAAAAGGAAACACAGAGTCCTCTCCACATCTCACACAGAAGACTGAAGCAATGAAGAATTTAGATAAAGTGATACCGTAAGATTACTATCTTATTCAGGAACTTAAGAAACCACTTTTGATGTATAGATGGAAAAACCTGCAGGACAACTGACCCTGCAGACTAGAAGAAAAACATAATCAAGTTATTTAAACTTGCAAATCAGCCATTAACCAGCTAATGTTAGTGAAGCTCTACATGGTTTTTAATGCGAATCGCATTACCTACTCATATACCCAGATGTCTGCATAAATTTCAAGGGTTTATTATACTATAAATGCCAAAATTAGCAAATTACATCTTATATTTCCAGTAAATCTTTCAAAACCACAATTCTCATTTTACTTAGTCAGAGATGATGCTTTATGAATCCCACAAAAGATGAGACTTGCATATACATTTAAAGTGCAAAAATTAGACACTAGGAAAAAGCTTGTAAAAGGCACAACTATTCCTTTTTAAATTTTATTTAATTCTACATATACATACATATAAAATATATATATTTAATTTTATTTTTTACTTAGTTGTGTTTTGAAATGGCATAATGGGAGTGCTAATATTGCTCACAATATTTGAAATTTCTTTCCTAGAAAACCCAAAGAAATCGTTACTTTGTAGTTTTGTAGTTGCTACATTAAATCGCCAGTCTTGTCTCATTGTTTCAGAAAAGACAACCATCAGCTTTTTTCTTTTTCCTTTTTTTTAAAATATCTTTCTTTTTTGAGGGGTTAAAAAAGTGAAAAAGAAGGGGTGGTAGCAAAGACAAAATGGAGTTTTTACAGGTTAACAGTTTGGGGTTTAAAATAAAGGCAAGTTGTTTCCAAATGTGTATATAAACCTCCCTCATTCCTATTTCTTTAATTTTTTTTAAAACTTCCAAGTTTTTCCTTACTCCACCAAGTAATTCTTGATGGAAAAATAAGAGATACAAGACTGGCTCATATACATCATAACAGATTAGGCATCTTTTGGATAGACTCTGAACTTACATTTTCTGGTTCAACTCCAATGTCTTCACAAAATTTCTCCATACCTTCTGGCCCTACAATGTCATCAGCGCCTGCAAAAAAAAAATGCATTTTACTTAATCACTGAAAATGAAAACAGTCTGACCTTTACAGCACAAGAGAAGTGCAATCACGCAGTACAATCTGAATTTCCATATAGTTTTTTTGTTTGTTTTAACATGCAATAAATATTTCCACACTTACTATCAGACTTGGATACACTTAAATCTTTATCTCACCTTTGGAAACAGAGACAGAAAAACTGTGAAACAACTTTCATTCCTGACAATATCCTTTATTCTACCCACTTAGTGAGATAATCTTGGAAGAATAAATTAATAAGACCTTTAAGAATGCACTTAAGACAAGCAGAACATCCATGAAATTTACCACGGTTAAATGAGTGGATGATGGATGGTGAAACTCATTTCTTGGTTTGAATCTCTACTGTTATCATAAGATCATATCACATAATAATGTGATGCATCACTATACAGTATACAATACATTATCATTCCCAGAATGTCATTCTTTATTGTGTCAAATACTATCTTTATATAAAGTTACCTAGAAAAAAAGACCCTAAAATAAAAATCTCGTGCTCCTCTTTATTCATGTTGCTATACCACGGCCACATACTATCTGAATTTTAGTAACTTCAGGGGGGAAGGAAGACATGAATTACAGCTATTTCTTTGCCAACTTAAAAGGAAAAAAAAGATGCAAAAAATAGATGGTATTAAAATGCACTACTACTAAAACATGCTGTTAAATCAAGATATTTGATGTTACATTATATATGCTACTTCTACAATACTCTATTGAAAAATTATACAGGCATTAAGAATTGTACTGAGCAATTCTACTTTTTTAAGTAAATTTTAAGTCTTTGGACTATTTTGTTAGAATTATTTTACTCATGTTTAAAAGGGCTCATTTGGGAAAAAAAATTAGAAGCTGAAATGCCTACTTTCATCCAATATAAAGATCACATGTGCAAGAAAAGAGGTTTTATAAAGGGAAGATCAATCTATGTTTTATTATTAGGTGACCTACTATTCTAGAAATAACAAGGTTTAATTATATCTTTTCCCATCTTCTCATGACATCCTCTCACAGTTCTCTGAGCGTACACAGTCTTTAAAAAGACTCATTCTGTAATGTAAAGACACACTAGGAAAAAAAAATGCAGTGTCAACTGTGCATATATAAGGGAGAAGACTATGAAGCAAAACCACAAAAGAGATTATTCTTTGAAAATTCATTTTTCAGAATGTTACTCAATACTGTAAACAGAATCATACTCTCTGCTTTTCTGTTTTATCTTGGTGTATGCATCCAATGAAAACCCAAAAGTTCTTTCATATACAGCCTTCCTTTCATCCCTTCTTTCCATGAAAGTGTTGACAAAAATGAGTTATCCCTGTTGCTAGAGTAAAAAAATAAATCAAGCTGGTCAGAAAGGCAGAGAATCTAACAGGTTAGATTTGGCTTGAATTTGTCTGAATCTTCTCTCACAGACTGCCACAGACAAGTGAGATCTCAAAGTATTTAATTTAGTTTATGTGATTTTATTAGAAGAAAAAAAATATTTTATTACATCCAATTAAGTCACTCTTCATTATGCGTAAGAAGTAGAGAAAACAGAACAAGCTGTGAGCAACATTATCCAAGGCAACATCAGAAAACTGGAAGATGACCTTATTTTCTTTGTCAATCACGTCTTTCATTTCCTTTTGGTCTTTATAGTCATGAGATCATTTTTCTCCATACTTCAAGTTCTCATTCAGAAAACCACGTGTAAAAAAAATGAATACAACCACCAACTTCATTATTAAAGGATCATCTTTTGTGATCACAGATCATAATTAACAGTCCTAGAAGTAAAGCCTGAAGAAAGTTCTCATACACAAGGGCAAGAATAAATAATTCAGTCTACCTTCCCTATACCTTGTGATGGAAAACTGTATGAAGACAAGACTAGTATGGGATACTTGAAACTTCTTTCCTTGAAACCATAACCATAAGCACCAGATTCACCAGGAACAAAACTAATGTTACCACCTCCCCCACCTTTTTTTTTTTTTTTTTTAATTAAAGACACACTTCTCCTGAAGCATAATTCTGTACTATTCAGCAATAACACGGCAGATGACAGAACTTCTAAAGCCAGAGAGGTAACAAAATTTTGGACAGAAGTACAGCTTTAACTATAGATTTGAATAGCAAGTATACATGTTCCAAAATATTTTAAGTTCCACATCTTCTGTATTCTTTTTACAGAACAGAGACAAAGACAAAATTGCCCCTTGAACTCTTCAACTTCACGCTACACAGAACATAAGAAAAGCTTCTTTAAGACTTTTTTAAAAAAAAAGCCTCTATATTCAGTCTTGGAAAAGCTCAGTTAATGAAATTTTTATATTCCAGTGTAAATTAAATTAGGAGGAAATTTGCATTTCACCCTTACCTGCATATTCATAGAACCATTCTAAGCATCTCTTACTTGAAAAGACTTCTTCCTCTGCTTTTATTCTAGTTGAATCATATTTTCTATACATACTTTAAAAAAAGAGAAACAAGTAATTAATTCATCAGTTTTTTAAAAGCAATCTTTTAGTCAACAGCCACCGTAAGCAGCAACATTTTTCCTTTCATAAACCAGTTTACCCAACATACTGTCCTCATATCCAGTCATTTGGGACACTGTTTAACAGAGTAAGAATCACTGAACCTAAACACTGTGTTTGCTCAGTCTGTCATACTTCAACTGATTCATAATTGTTATCCATGTACATAAAATTTCCTTACAACAAATACAGACTAGTTCAAATTCAACCTCAAACTGCTTTGTGTAAATTCAAGTAAGACTTGTGCACACTATCAGTTACCACAATCAACTGATGGGTTGCAACTTGGCTGTGGGTCTAAACCTAGAGTAATTCCATGTCACAGTCAACACAGGTCCTACCTGTAGGCGCACGCATACATTGTGCACTTCGAATTATTAACTAAGGAGAACTGCACATACTCCTTTTGCCTCCTCAAAAAAATCCTATAAAAGGCATAAAGGCCAAAATAGACATGACTCACGCTTGCATTATTCTGAAGCCAGTTGGTAACACAAAAGGACCACAGAGAACAGGTTACAGGTCCTCACTGACAATAACTCAAGGAACCTCATTCATCACAGGGTAAACAGTTATCTGAAAAGCTAGATCCATAGTGGCCCTTCTCCCCAGAGATGACCAGCAAGGTAGTGGTCTCCTTCAACAAGAAGCACAAGGAATTTTAACTACATTCAGGAAACAATACTGAAGTACCAGGCTCCTCAATTTAACATCTGAAACACCTAAAGCACGGAAGGCATAGCAGAAGTTGATGAGTTATTCCACCCTGTTTACACTTTTCTGAAACAGAGACAATACCATTTGTGCCTGTTAGAGGAAAGAGACTCAGCAGTCCAAGTAGTTGTTCACTGCTGCATATGCATTCTCTGATCCATTTCCACCACTCTGCAGTAGCTTGGACTCATAAAGGCTGAAAAGAGCCGAGCAACAAATGGCTTAGACTAGAGGACGTAGCCAAGAACGGCTCTGTACATGTTCCAAGCATGCAGCCCTTCTTCTTACAGTGTCAAACCCTGCTGGGGGAGGACAACAAAGTGGCTAATTGGTTCAAGGAGAATTCTGAAACAACTTGATGAAATTAATTTTGAGTTGATTTCACCACCATTTTGTTCTTCTAGAAAGACATGTAAAAGATGTCTATACTTATGAGCTTAGAGTACATTGATCCTACTATTCTCCATCTAGCTCAGCTATCAGCTATGAGAAACTAGCTAGAAGTTAACAGCACACAGATCATTCTGTCAGTAATTCAAAGAACTACTTCACGTTTATTGTCATAGTTCCTTTAAAGCAATTAACCATTAGAAGTAGTCAGAGCAAAATGATAAATTGCTAATTGGACAACAAATACAAATGAGTCTCTTAAGAAATTTCAAAGTAGAAAGAAAAATTAACACTCTACTGAAACACACTGACCTGCAGCAAAGTGAAACACTGCAGAAAAATGCCAGCCATACCTCTCAAACACTTATATTCACATACCTACAATTTGTAGGGGTCTTTTTTTTAATTTTCATTTTGAAAACACTTTTTTCAATTTGAATTACCTACTTTATATAAGCTTTACTGCAGTTGCAAAGGAACAGGCTGACAGCACTGCCCACTAAGTAAACAACCAAGCTAGAAGGTGTAAGTCGGAGTTGGAACAATCTTATTTTTTTTTAAAAAACAGGTCTGATAACTTAACATTCTCATACTTGCAGAATGAACTGTGATTATGAAAGACCTATCCAGTATTTTTTAGGCTATTCTGAATTCAGAGGAATCAAAAAAATGTCTTGAGTCAAAGAAAGGTGGCATTCTGCCATTTTGGCAAAGGTCTAATTATTCAGTATCCCCTTTTTTGTAGCAAACAAACGTGACAAACACTAACTGGACTACCAAGTGGAAAACTGATTGTAGCAGGAGCTAGCCAACATCTTTTATTCTATTCTATTTATTCAAGAAGCCTGTAAGAGCACTGCTGGGACCTAGGACACGCAAAGCTAATGTGGTTCCCCCAAAGACGGACATTTCATCACAAGAATCAATGTCTTTTCTTAAGAAGGGATGATAACCAAATGCCTTGCCCTACTTGTTCATGTAACTCAACAACACATGGCCTGTCAGTATGTGAGCAGTGGATTTGGGAAGGAACCCTCACAAAACAAATTTATTGACAGCACTCTAGGTCATCCAGGTATTTCAGAAAAAGGATTCCTGCATCTACAAGCGGCAGAGCTAAATACTGTAGCCTGAACCAAGACACCAATGACAGCAGTATGTGAAAGAGGAATGGTGAACGAGAACAGAAAAAAACCTGCCCTTTTTATACATTTACTGCATGTACACATAGCAAGTTTTCAGTTTTCATAGGACTGATAAGGGACTGAAAGTCACTTTTTGTGCTTAAGGCTAAGGTCATTGTTTAGGACCCGAAGGGAACAACAATATTCATTAGTAAGTCCATGTGCCCAACATAAGGCCAAGTAACTCCAAGCAAAACACTCTGGCCTCAAACTTATAATTGTTCAAAAAGCTCAGTATCTGACCACTGGAGTTTGATTTTTGAGAAACCAGAACTGATAACAGATCTTCCAACCTCTGCCAGTAAGAGAAATTACTTCACAAATTCAGAAAATAAAATCAGAAAGGATATAGTCTTGAGCTATCCCAGTCGCTGCTACAAGCTAGTTAGCCAGACGTTCATTAAAACTGCAGGTGACATCGTATCACATTTGTAATGAAAACAGACCATGCACGGCCAGGAGCATAAAACCATGCAACAAAAATGGCTGGATGAATCTCAGATGCCTTTCTCTCAACCTAAAGGAACTAATAGCAGATCACATATTCTGCAAGACAAAGATCACTTGAAAAGGAGTATGACAGAAATAAGTAACACCAATGCAGACCCAGTATTAGTGATTTCTCATGCATAAAGATGAAGCCTGTTCTTCCCCTCCTTACTCCAAACACCAAATGAGTTCTCCCCATAGTCTAGCCAAACCAGCTAGTTCTATCAGCAAGAAACTCCTAATCCCTGAAGTGCTTGGTGAAGCGAGATGAGAGGGAGATACAAGCAAGCAAGTAGACAAGTATCTGATATTACAGCCTAGAACAACTTGGTTCAATTATCACAGCAAGCCCAACCTGGCAGCACAGGGTAAAGGTGATTCCAAAGACTGCGTCATCTGAATTATCATTAATACAGATTTTATTATCTCAAGAACCATAGATGCAGAGGAGAAAAACAAAAACTGCCAGAGACATCTAGCATACATTTTGTATCTTAGAATAATTCTCATATATTTGGAATTTCTCTGTATATACTGCAAGATGATGTGCTTTGTCTTTGTGCTAAGGACAGCGTCTCTTGCTACACAGACAAATACAAACTGTCAGAGTGCACAGGGTAGATATCTGAATACTTTGGGAGGACCAAGCATCTACTGAACAGATCCCAGTTTGAAACAGCAAGTCCTCAACGGCTCACAGCTTCCTCAAGATGACCAGCACCAGTACCTTCAAATAGACACACAACCATTAAGCTGACCATGTTATAGTTTGGCAATTTGCTTACGCATTGATGGTCCATAAGAGGAACCTGCAGAGTTTCAATCACACACCAGAACTGAAAGAACATACTGCTCAGAGCCTAGAGGAGAAAAAAAAAAAAAAAAAAAACCACCGAAAGGGAAAAAAACCAAAAAGTAAAAACCCCATAGACACATTCCATAAAGGAACAGCCAATGAGTATACCTGGTACTTTTTGTACCAGAATTTGTACCACTATCAGAGAATGATCACACTGGAACAGGATTGCTAAAGGGTGTTTTCTTCATCGCCAGTGCTAGAAAGGTGCACGCAGAACTTTTTCCCCAGAGTGTCTGCTATACCTATCACTACTGGACAACAGCAAAATCTGAGCCTTTGCATTTAGAATTACCCTTTCGTTTCTGAACCCTGAGATGCTGCCCATCAGGAACAGCAAGGAAAAAATAATCACCTATGGGCAAAGAGTATGTATTTGTCTCTGACATGAGACCGCGTGCAAGTACAATGACTCAGAAAAATCTTCAATTAAAAAATAATAGTTTTTATTATTGTAACATAACACTGTCAGTGTCAGGACAGTGACAGCGGCCTTCAAAAAATGTTTCTTTATATTATAACCAATATCCCCTTAAGGAGCATTTAGCTTTTTCTTTTTTATTATCTCTCTCTAACAGCCATTTTAACTAGAGAGAGGAAAGAATGTGGGACAGGGCAGGGAAAAAGCAACATGAGATTAACCTGCCTAAATTTTATAAAAGTGATTACCAACTACTTAACCACATGTAAATGAAGTTATTTTCTCAGAAATGCTCACATCTCCATCATGACCTAATAGCTGACTCATAACATCCATTTTTAAACTTATCTTTTTCTTACGAGCTAGGGAATTGTAATATCCCTGCAATAAAGATGAGACGATGTAGTTTATAATTGGAAGTGCTACAGACAGATGTAAACAAACTAATTAAAAAAACCTGAGTGTCTAGGCCTTTCACATTTCTTTAAATACACTATCATCCATATCTTTTTCAGATTACTTTTCTCCATTCATAACAACTGATTTGGTGGGAAAGCAAAAGCAGGAAAATTCCATCCAGCTATTATGGGGTGGCTAGGCAAGTCATCCTAAGAGTATGTGGTTGCTGCCAGCAAAAAGAACAAGATCAGGGTAATTCCCTTCAATTTACTGCACTCTTCAAAGCTGGATATCTACTCGTGCTCTGAGCATGCTTCAAATGTACTGGAATTTGTTAGAGCTCCACCTACCACAGCAGCAAGGGACAAAAAGGGGGGCGCAGGGGGGAGAAAGACAGTGGGGAGAAAGATAAAAAAGGTACAGTTTATTATTACGGTAAGTCAAAAGTTAACCCCTCATGAAGATCTACAGCCTGCTGATTTAGATGGTCAGTGTGTACTGATGAAAACATCAAGAAATTTATCAACAGTAGCTTTGTTTCTATGCAACCAGAACTTATTCAAAACCTTTACTCCATTTTCTTTGAGCTTCAAAATGAGTAACTAATTGCTTTCAGATTATTTATATTTTGAAAGATGCAAACTTTTGACTGAAGAAGATGCCCCCTACTACTTCAATTAATTCTAATTTATTAATTTAAAATTTTGGCTGAGAATTTTCATCAGTAGAGCACAATGAAAGTATTTTTATAAAGCCTTACCTATTCATTCACAATTATGATTTTAGCAATAGTTTCATAAATACTGTAGAAACAAGGGGCGGGGGAAGGGAGAGATGTTTTACCATTTGCAAAGCATGACAAAGACTGCCTAAAGCAACCCTCAGGACAAACTTACTTGACTGGTACGTTTTATGAATGAATATGTCTTATCTTTCCCTATTTAAAGGCTTACAATCATCTTCAAACTTTTAAATTAATGTTTTGAACTTCGTCAGGCTTACTTAAGGAGCAGTATGTATAACAGCATACATGCTGATAGTCACATGTCCAGTTTAAGATTCTTCAGAACTATTAAGTGAAGTTCACTGAAAAGGTGTATAAAAAGGGAAAATTATATCTGTGCGTACTTGAAAACCTCTTCTTCAAGGAATAAGGTCTAGACATCTCTGACAGTTGGTAACACAGGCTGTTTGCATGGGGCAGGACCAAACCAGTTGGTAAACTACAACAAAACAAAAAAACCCTCTCAGCACTAAATGTTTTGAAAACTTCCAAGGTTAGTACAATCCCATTTTACTTTCCCATGTTAATAATAGTGTGTTGACTGTGTTTTCAAAACTTATGTTTTTCTACCACAGAGGATGGAACTTATTACTCAATAAAGAAACCCTATTTTTCATGTTAACAGGCCCTTATGTGGTCCATACACACATCTAGAATAAATTAGACTCTAGATCTAATTGCTTGAAAACATAATTTTCAGGGAAGCAGATAAATATTCCTAGTTTTCATCCTTCTAAGGTCCAAATATCCATTATTGTAAGATTTTTGTTCTCAGCCTGATTCTGGAATAAGGAGTATAATTATTTTCTTAAATGAGACTATCAGAAAGAAGAGAAGACATTAGGTTATACAGCTCATTTTCCCCTACGGAAAAAGCCAGTATTTGGCTAGAGACTGTGTAACAGATACACAGCATCAGATATTGCACAGTGCAGACTATATTCTTACCTAGCAAGTATCTTTACATGAAACTTGCTTTACCTTTCCTAAGAGCCTTAAGACAGTGATGGAAGAGCAATGTACAGAAAATGTATTTTTAACTCCAGTTTGAGAATACCTTATACCATAAGAGTTTTAAGTACAATACAGTCAAGACTGTGATAGTGAGAGGAAAATACAAACCAACTCTTCAAGTCATTATGTTCTGGCAAGTGTAAGCTAAACTGTTTACTTCCAATAGCTATTCTTTAAGACAAGATAAATCTTACTGTGATCCAGAAATGAATACACCAAGTTCTTTTCATTACACATCATCCGGTATAAAAATTCCCTCCCACTGAAACACTGCACTCATGGTTCAAGGTGACGTTATGAATGTTAATTAACAGAATTCAAGCTCTTATTATATAAGGGTGGGATGCTAAAGAACATGTTTGGAATCTTTGTTTTCCATAATCAGTTTATGCATGAGATCAGCATTTCCAAATAACTTCACTAACAACTAGATTTGTTCCTATAATTTTTTTTCCTCAATAGCCAGTGTCATTATTCCACTAATCCTTCCAAGATGAGGCTATATCCCTAACAGCCTGGAACTGAGGCTGAAGGCTATTACAAGCTCCCTGGTATCAGATGTATTTAAAGTTTATGAGTTTAAGAGCCTTTAGAAATCATCTTCTATTTTAGCACAGAGCCCTGCTGAAATAAACTTTCTGGAAAGAATACATATCTCAAAAATATCACTATTATAGTTGAAGAGATTATGAGAACACACCACAAATAGTGAAGACCGAAAATATCACTCAACAAAACTATCCATGTAAGGATTAAAAAAATAAATCTCCTTTGTAGGGACAAACCAGGAGGAATCATCAATATTTGGTCTCAGGTGTGATAACACCACTAATGATGACACTCCTTTGATAATCTTCAGACTACTACCTATCATTTTTGCACTGAAAACAAACAGGAGACTCACAATTACTGGATTTATTTGCTAATGTTGCCCCTATAAGTTTGCCACTGTAACTGAGAAACATAAAAAAACTTACATCATTCCGTAAGCATTTGAAGTGACAAATCATCTCTGTTAGGAAATGCAGTCTCTTCTGGAGAGCACACATTGCATTTTTTCATTGCAAGCAGACATTCAAGAACAGACACAGACTACGATTCTTGCTTAATACAGAATCCATACAGGCTCATGTCCCTTGAAGGCTTATCCTGAGTTACTAGTATGCAGCTTCTAGGAAGTCTGCCTCTAAAACAGAAACAATGATGAAGAACTGGGCTTAGAAGCCCCTTATTCCATAAACTGGCATTGCACTATCCATACTGTTTTTATTATACACAGCATTCTGGGCATACTATGTAAGGGGAAACAGCTTTGAAAATAACTAGGTCTGCTACAGCACACCGCTGTAAAGGTTCCTGATTTCAGATTGATTTCTGCTTGACAAACTGAAATGTCTGACCTCCAAAGACCAAACATGACAGGCATGAGCTCTGCCTGACAAACAACCATGGAAGTAGCAGACAGCTTGCTCTTTGTATAACTTGTTCACAGAAGGTTACAGGGGCATAAGCCAAATCTGAAGAAATCCTTCTTTGAAAGAAAATAAAGCTCCAAGTCTGCACTGAATGTTCAGCAAATGATTTCATATTGCCAGCCATGCTGAAATAAAAACTGTTTTCTTGAAGACCAAAACAAAAGAAACTTATACACTGGGAAGCAGAGAAAGCCCAAAAACCTTTAGAAGGAAGACAGATAAAAATTGGAACCACATCAGAGAAGGATATTCCCCTGTGGCCCATGATGGGCAGATCTGGTTTCACCTCCGCTTCTAAAAGCAGGCTGACGTCTTCCTTTTTAATAAAGCCTTACATAGCAGTAGAATGACAACTAGATCCATTAGTTATAAACTGAAAGGCAGATATAAATAAAAAAAAAATCCTTCAACGTATGCTTTCAAAAAGCTCCTAATGATTATTATGTTGTTGTTATTATATATATACACACTACTGATAGAGTAAGAAATCAGTTTCTCATAAATTTCTTGAATTACATAAATCAGTATCTCTTACTTGCAGACAACCTTACTTTCTAGGGGGTTTGGGTTATTTTGTTTTACCATCAGTGTCTTGGCAAAAGAAGGTGGAGTTAAATTTCGTGAACCGCTCTACTTCGATTCTAGAAACTTTGTCCTCATTTCACTTCCATATTGTATGCATATCTCTGAATAAGCTGTAATGTCCTCTATCAACTATTTAGCTTTTATATTTAATTATTTCTGAAAAGCAGTAAAAAAATATATTAAGAACATGTACTGCTTTTTTGTTCTTTATAGTGTTATGTATGCAAAGCAATGAAAGGGAGAGTTGAAATCTTCTTTTTTCTTCTGCATCAACAGATCATTTAATAAATTCCAGTGCAGCTACAGTTGTGCAACCCTATTAAACACAATGGAGTTAGAGAAGCATAACCAGAGGCTTAATTTGGCTACCAGCATTTTTCTGACTCATGCTAGAGAATAAAAAGCAAAGCACCCAGCCTGATTTCAGGCTGACAGGAGAGAAATGCATCTTTTTACCTTCCTAAAGATACTTGTTATGGAAGCAGTGTTTTCTGAGTCACCGGTAATACATGAATGTAACAGAGCTCAAATTCTACTGACTGATGCAGTGGCAACCAAACTTTCTGGCTGTATACGTCACTTTTCAACGTCAGGATAGTCCTGCACCTATCACGCAGGACTGTACAGTCCTGTACTCCCACAAGTTCTGAATTCACTGCACATAAATAGTGACTATCTTGCACAAAAGAAGCACATTCAATGGTTTCTGAATGACTGAGGCTGACTGAACATACACATACTGAAAATCCAACACTTGCAGAAGTCTCAGCTATGCAACACCTATGCCAAAAGAATACACTGCTCATGCACACAGTTATAACCCACTTGTGCTTCTGTTGCCCAGAGGGAAGCTGAGCAGCACCACCTCAATCACCACTCCACCACCGGCTATCACCTTGCCTGGGCAATCTTCACATGATCAGCATCAAATCAGTACATGACAGGGAGAGACTAGCAGGACTTCAGGTAAGAGCCGAGTGGGCTACAACTACAGCCACTTTTCTGACAGGCTGTAGATTGAGAATGCCCAATACAGATCTTATGCATGTATACAGGAAGATATTATTGCATCTCTTAGAAGTTGTTTTTGAACAAACAAGTATGTCTATTTTGACAGCTGGCAAAATAGAGCAAGCAGAAGTTCCCTACAAGCTTCTTGTACAACTCGAAAAAGGCGAGATGGAAACTGAACCTAGATGTGCTTATTAATATCCCACCGTTCAATCACAGGCTATGGTTCCACATCAAGAAACCAAGCAAATTTGAATACCATTTCCATTAGTATTTAAAAACATGATCATATCAGCTGTTGAACTTTAGATATTCCATCAGTCTTAGCTCATGGTAAGATGACATACCCATCATGTCTACTTTTCTTAGCAGATAAATCATCTCCTGCTGCAGGTCTCCTCTTTTTCCTTGGAGGCATCACTTTACTAAAGCAGTCTGATGAACTGCAAGACCGAAGACTTCCTACAGAGGGAATTAAAAACACCAGTACAAGAAATGAAACTGTTGCAGACCAGTTAAACTGTGTCCACTAATAGGCATATTACAAAGGGAAGGGAAGGGAGGAGGTTAGTGGATTTAAAGATTACAAAAGAAATGTCTCCTTTCAATAGCAAAATCCATCTCACTTTTACATGGTGTTCTATGACCAGATTTCAGTTAAGGCCAAAAGCACTATACCAAAATGTACAGCAGTGCTAGTGCTACTTCGGTCTAACAAAAGGCAAGAACTGAGACTACCCTAAGTATTTTAAGTCCTCAAAAAGGCATCCTTATTTTTAGTCATTTATTCAAATCAGAACTTCTAAGAGTCATTCGTTACTGTAGGAAATACAGACGTGACTCAAAAACTAGAGCACCTACCTCTAGAAAACAGAACCTTTTTATTTTTAAGCCCCAAGTTTTTTGTGATACAGAGAGCAAGGGGTAGGAAAGATTTTTTTGTTTGTTCTTTGTTTTGGGGGTTTTTTTTGTTTCTTTTCTTTCTTTTTTTGGGGGGGGGGGGGCAGTTGGGTGGGGAAGAGACATTCAGCAGCCACTAGGGGAAAAAAATAAGTGGCTGGCTGGATCATTTGAACTGGACAGTTCTCAAAGTATGAAGGTCCCCAAGTAGGAAACAGCCAATTCAAGACACTGATGCAAATCAAGTGGCAGTCTTTCCCTTCCCTTCTCTCAACTACATACTCCTATGTCTCTGGTGACTCTTCAGTGTGCCAATCCAGCTCACCAAACCTGTAGATAATTCACCCAAGCAAAAAAGAATAACAACTTTCTGTATATTAGCACAAGAAAGAGCACAGGACCAGCCCTTTTGACCACAGCAAGTTGTTAAATTGCCTTTGCTGTCTCATGAAAACAGTAGGCTAACACTCCAGGCAAAATTTTGTCCTACTTTCATATACTGAAGACCACATTGACACCTGAGAAAGGTGTGTGTAAGAGCAGCTCAAAGAGCTATCAAAGCTCTAAGTGTTATGCAGAGAAATTTAAAAGGAAAGGAAGAGAGAGGTGAGGTACAAAAATCCAGCCGCAAAGCAATGCCAAGGAAACTTGCAAGAAAATATGAAGAACTCCAGCATGCCTAAGCTACCTTCTCTTAGCTTCAACAGCATCCAAGTTTAGCTATGCTTTATTAAGATGCCCACAAAATCTTTTATTTTAAATCACAGCACAGAAGCAAGCAATGAAACTTCTACTTTTTGACACCAAGGGAGCAGACTGAAATCATAGAGGCCCAATTCCCAACAAATACTAACAGCAATCTTTTGCTTACCTATTCTTCGTATCTTTGAAAGTCTCTCTCCTGTTATAGGAGAAACACATGTAAGGAACCTTACAGCCTCACAGGCTTTGCTACATGTACTTTATTTTAAACATGCACTGAAACTATTATGCATATGAAACTATGGATTATTCTAGTATTAGGCAAGATGTTCAAACCAGTTTTTACATCAAGGTGAACTAATTTGGTTTCAACTAAAAGAGCTTTTGCACTTAGTATGCCTTCTTTGGTCTTACCTTTATATTCATTTCTATTAAGAAGAAAATTATCTCCCTAGTTCAAGAAATACTCTTTACAGTTCAAAAATTCTTCCTATATATTCTGTGGTTTTTTTGGTTTTGTTTTGGTTTTTTTTTTTACCCTGAAGCTCCCCCACGCCAGTATCCTCCCAGGAAAGCATGGCCATACCCACACTATCTTTTAGAAAGAAAGTTTTAAGAGTACTGTAAATTCAAATTATAATTTAACTAGTTATCAAAAAACTTCAAGCATTATACTCCATAAACTACTATCACATGAAAGAATCATAATGGTTGTGTCAGAAGAATATACTTCTAGAAGCACTATCCAGAATATGTTACAAAAGGAAATTAACAATAATATTATTTACCTTCTCACCAATATCAGATATATTTGAAACAGGTAAGCCAGAGACCATCAAAAACTCACAGTATGCCCGATGCACTTAACTAACCAGATTAAAGAAACTAAGGAACCTGACCTGCTCAATGTTATTTGTTTCATCCTGCAAATTAATGATACTGCAAAATTGTATTCTGGTAAGTTATTGGAAGTGTGATGATTTATGGCTTTTTAGATCAAATTTCTAAAGACTCTGCCAGTATTTTTTTAAAACCTACACAAACTAAAAACACTTAAGATGACAGCAGAACTTCACAGATGGCTAGAGACAGCCAGCAGACTCAGACACACGCTAAACTTAACAAATGAAAACATGTCCTAATGAACACCTTGTTTTGGAAAATATGTATGTACTTGAGTACAACCTGTAGCTATCTCATTCCTTTGAGAGCAATTTGATTATTTTTTAAATGCCTTTCTATTAAAAAAAAAAAAAAATCTATTTATGATGGCCACAGGCATTGGATGCTGGTAAAATGAAAGAAAACCCACCAACCCACCCTCTCCCCACCAGGGTTTGTCCAGTTTACTGGTTATTTGATTGGGAAAATAAATATGCAAGGCCTCTGTGAAAAGAGAAGCATAGCAAAAGATGAAAATAATATAAATAAAAGTAAAAATAAAACAGTTATAGAACAGGAAAATCATTTTGTCAGATCTGCAACCCCATACAAACCGAAGAATTTAACCCAAGAATTCCTGCTCTAAGTCTTTTCCTCATTAAATGATAGGACATTTTTAGGAAGATCGCTGAACTTGTTTTAAAGGCTTAAAGTTATAATAGAATTCACCATAACCCAATTTCTCCAATAACTTATACGCAAAACTTGTACCCTTTCTTGGTTTGAATGTATCTAGTTGCAGCTCTCAAACTGACAGAAAAGGGAAGAAAAGAGATAGCTCAGAAGTTATTAAGTGGCTATTAAATGCACACATATACCGCCTTCACGCACAAACACACACACAGAGACACCAGCTGGACAAACATATTGTACATGCTTTCAGAGATTTAACATCTTAATAACTGAGGCCTGGACCAAGTCTTCACTATGTTTTAACTGTTGAATGATCTCTAAACTCTAAACACAGTATAGGAACATTACTTTAAAAGTATTTCCTTTTGTTAATGGACTCAGTATACTGAATTTGAAGGGCAGTTATAATTTCTCTGTAACAAATTCTGAAAGTTAAACCAACAGAATATTTCTACCTTTTATTTCCATCTAAAGCTAAAACCTATCAGAGTTTGGGGTTTTTTACTTAAATTCTTGCCATTTCTTATTTTACAGTATAGCTCACCAAGTAGCATCAATATTAACCTTTCCTACACAGAGCTTTCTAATTCTAAATGTAATTTCTAGGTCTAGCCTTTCACAACTAATTTCACTTCTCAAAGGTCTGATCATCTGCAAACGAACATGCAGCTCCCTCTGACTTCATGCAAAGTTTAACAGGAACTTTACTTACCAAGTGCAGCTTCTCTGATGTGATTATCTTCAAAGTTTCTTACTCCTGGGTCTCAACTCAAGATTGGCAGAACCTTCCTAGTTCTCACTGTTTTTTTGACACTTGAAGCTAGCATTTGCAAGGTAGAGCCTCCAAATGGCTGCTGAATAGGCCACCATCAGCCAAAAGCCTGCCGAGTATAAATGTTGTTTGCCAAACGTTCTATTCAGTACTTCCAAATTTGCAGGAGACAAAGCTACCAAAGGGAAATATCAACTCAAGAGCTAAAATTCACCCTAAGAAATTTAAAACAATATGCAAGATAATCACTGCAAGAGAGGGACACTCCTAGAATAGGAACAAAACCGGAACAAACAAAAAACAGAGGTCAATAAATAAGAATTCTACAAGCTGTGTCCCTACAGAAGTGATTTACAGACATGTAATTTTCACCTTCTCTCTAGATAATGCCTGTGAATAATCCTGCTCTTCTGATGCTTAGGTAGAGGGATGTTTCAAAGGAAAAATAATTAGAAACTGTGAAAGCTGAAGCAATTGGAAAGATATAGCTGCTTGCTTAATGATGCAACAAGACCACCACAAGCACAGTTAACAATCATAATTTTTCAGATACAAGATGAGAAAACTAAGATACTCATCAAAACACCAAATAGTTTGCAATCTTGTTGTAAAAGGAAAAATCATCTTCTCTATCTTGAATTCCACACTAGAGAAGTGCTTTGGACTCAAGAGGGTTTTCTTCTCTAAAACAACAAAAAAAAATGAAGGAGGCAAAAGCAATTTTTTTTCCCCCTACAAGCTTCAAGAACAGCAATGAAGCCTTGCTTTTGTTGAAGACATTACCTCGTTCTTTTAAACAAGCCAGGTGACAACAGGAAGTGTACTTTTATTTTTGAAGATATTTTAGTCTGGATAGGTAAATAAGTCACAATTTAACAACCAAATCATGACTTTAAGCTATTAACAAGTTACTAGATTTGTAGTTATGACATAAAAACAACTATTATTTCAAATTCTAGAGAAAGAGTTTTCCAAGTTAATGCATATACATACTAGAAGAAAAAGAAATTGTTTACAGAATCTGAATGCCTGCTTTTCTTACCCCTACAGACAGCTGGAAAGCCAAAGGCCCATGACACATAGACAGCCTACCTTATTTTTCAGATATATATGCACACTGAATGCTAACACATTTTATGAGACTGTAATCATTATAGGTGACTGGAATTTTGAAGCGAGGTCCATCTTAGCTCCCAAATCACTGAAGGAATTTTGAAACTGCCACCCTCTAGCTCCTAGATATTTAAGATCTGGTTCCAGAAAAGAAATCTGGCTAATACTTAGAAAAGATATAATTTACTTAAAATAATTTAGATGTCCAGCACATTTATTGTTAGCTCAGAAACAACTGTTTTGAAATAAATGTAATATGCATTAAAAGCTCATTATAAATATTAACCTAAAATTGAAATACTCACGTTTTTTAAATAGCTTTTAGAATTCTCAACCAAATTTAGATATGCATTTATTAAGTCATGCCAAAAGCAGGGCCCACGATATAATAACATTAACCAGGATAGTTGTATCAGAAAATGAATAGTAATCTATAAGGATAAAGCTTACTTCAGAAGATTCAGTGTAAAGAAAAAAAAAAAAATCTCTAAAAAAAAAAAAAATCACCTTTAGATGAGTTTGGCAACTCTCAAAGAATCTTCTGCAACAGAGTTATTAACATGACTTTCAAATGAATTCTGGATATAAATCTCAAATTCACAGCATCTATGCAGTTCTATAAATTGCGTAACAAAATTAATAGGTCTTAACACGTCTTACTATGCAGTCAGTAATACTGGAAAATAGAAGTTCCAAAAATTTAGGCACATCGAAATCAACAATTGCAAAGCAATTCTTTTTAGATTCACATAAGGCTCTCCAGTAAGATGTTTCAGAAGTGTCAAGTCCCAAACAAAATGGACACTGGAGACTTCACTCTACTATATTCACAATGGCCAAAATAGCTCCATGCATGTGTATTTGTCCTCCTATGAGGAAAACCAAGCACACATTTTGAGTGAATTCACCTGGAAGTTACGCAAACATCAGGGCTTCACCTTTTTCTACAAGGAGACATAAAGGGCAGAAGCATAAGAAATACTGGAACAAAATCTGAAGATGAGGAGCCTGCCGGTATCAACTTCTACTTTCAGTTCTCATTTCATACCTGTTCCTGGTTTGAAAGGTTCTACAACTATTGTAAAAAATTACACTCTTCACTGGGATTCTGTGCCCAAACTCATCAATGGGCGTGTTTAAGCTTTTGAAACAGCTTAATTCAAACAACACAATGCAGGCAATAGGATAACCATGAGTGTCAGTATAAAGCAGTTCATCAAAACCAGTAACATGCTCAAACACCTTCCAATAGAGATAATGAGAGCTCTGAGGCTGATTTCTTACACTGACCTATATGATAGAAGTCCTAGGCAAGAGATAAGACAAATTCAAAATACCTTTGGCATACCGAGTCTTATTGATTGATTAGTGACAGAAGGGGACTACCTCAGTGCTTCACAACAGCTTTTTGTGATCAAAAGTAAACAAAGATTATGGAATGTATTTTCATACATTAAATCAGTATGTATCTGTTTAGTTTGAGCACCTGGATCACAAAGGGGAAAATTTCAAGTCTCCAGGAGATGGGAGAGGACATCAGTTCTAACATACGGACAATAAAACCTCTTGTCTTGAACTACCTGCCTCAACCTCTTTTGCACAGGTTTTTCATTTACACGATCAGCTAACTTCAAGTATCAAATCACTAACCACGCTGAAGGTAAATATTTGATAGAAGCCTTTTGTGGCTAGGGTAAGATACTTCAACTATGAAACAACGTCACCTGTCACAGTACGGAGGAGGGTACATAAGCCCTAAGTGAGCTCTGTCCGATCCCAAACAATGCAGTCCTATGCCTCTCTTCTCATTGCTCTAGGCTAAGAGCGTGCTAGATTTGTGTGTCCCAGAAATCTCCAGGAGGAGCTGACAGCTCTCTCCACTTTCTTAAGTGCTCAAGGTAACATCAGCAAACATAGCCAGCACCTCAGGATAGAGAAAAACTTTGAGACAGATGGTAGGACAGATATGGTCAGTTTTAAAGAACAGTTCTGCTGAGTGATCAGGGCTTGAAGCCAGTAAGTTATTTTCCTTCCTCCTTAGGTATCATGCCTGAAACACAGAAAGGAAGGAAGAAAAAGAAATCAAGGAAGACGCCAGTTCATAAGTAACAAGCACAAAAGGAGGTAACAAATGTTGCAAGATATCAAGTCACAAAGCACAAATGCTGATGAATCAAGAATGGCAGCACACTAGTACTAGGCACCTGAGATGAAGGCCTCGAAAAACGATGACATTTTATTGAACAGAAAACAGATCTGGACTAACAAATAGCCCTTAGACATTGACTGAAAATCTGCACAAGAAACAGGAACAACCTGCAGCAAAACCACTCAAGAAAAAAACTGGGTTGTTTGGAGCACAGCATTTAAACTCGGTCACAGGCATCACAATAGCCACAAGAGGTCTTGCTTCTGCTCTGTTCTCACAAGTGCTCTTTCAAGAGTCAAAACACTGTAAGAACATGGATATTCTGCTAGTCTAATGGGTTGAGTCCAAGGAGTGAGAGAATTTTTTCATGAAGTCTTCTAAAGTACTTACACCAAGAAATAGTAAAATGACAAATACTGCTGAAACCTGTGCGAGTCTTTCACAACTGGATAAATTAAAAGCATGAACATCTATCTTGAAGAAAACTTTAAAAAATCCTGGCACTTGTTTTCTAAAACTCCTTTAGTTTTCTAAAATTCAGTTTTCAGTGATGTTAGAGAGACTTCTTTGATGAAGTATGTTTAAATTGTTTCAATGTATTTCCGCTACATCCCTATTAAATACCTGTCTGGTGATCGTCTTGACCAACGTCCTCTGTCAGATTCTGCAAGAGAGCAGGAATGATACAGTTAAACAAGATGGTGATCTTCATTGTTCAGTAATGTTCTTAACCTTTATTTTATATTAATTATTTAAGGAGCATCTAGCTAAGACTGCAGAGCCTTTGCATTTTCAGTTCACATTTATCTAAAAAGTTCAAGGATAATCTTTAAATAATTTGAAAAATATTTTTTAAATTTTTTTATCAAAAACTTATCAAACTGTTTCAAGAGTGGAAATAACCATCCATTGGATGGGGAATTTTGCATTGTTGTATTGAACAAATCCATTAATAAATGCAGCATTAGAAAGATTGAATTGACCGTTTACCACAGAAATGGCTTTGATTAAGGATGAACACACATACGTGTTCTAAAGAAAACTGATTAAAAACCAACTGAAATCTTGGAAATGAGTTACCCCCTTTTTTAGGCAGTGTCTTTTCCACAAAATTTGCAGTTTACAAACAGAAGCCATATTGGCATTTCCAGCTATGGTTGCAATAAAACAAATGTAAATGCACAGCAAACAAGCAGGGACAGTCTTCAAAAAAAAATCTTGTTTCACTCTTTGCATGCTTTTAAGAGGACAGCTTGCTTGTTCAATGTGTTTTCCACAAGAACTGTAAGAAATTGGATAACGATTATGATTACCATTATTTGATATATCTAGGAAAGCTTCTTCTATGGAGACAACATCTAAATCCAATGTTGCGGTGAACAGCGCTCAAACTCCACTGTGACCCCCGGAGTATAATCTTTCACCTTTTACTAACACTGCTTATCTCTTAACGGATTCAACACTAAGAGTGTCTCATACAAAAAGGCAGACATAGTTTTTAAAAGTGTAATCACTTAATGATTTCAATCATGAAACATGCTGAACTAAAGCCCTAGCTATTCTGCTGAGAGAAAATGGCAAGTCATTACCAGCCTATTGAGGGTGTGGTAAATCTTGTGAATATTTGCCAGTGTTGATAGGTGAGAATTCAGTTGAAAATCTAGAGGGGGGGAAAAAAAAAGTTTTAAACTCTCTGGTTTCCAGCTGTAGCAACCAAGACCTTCGTATGTTCTGGTCATTTAATAAAATCATCACACAACTATAAAATAAAAGCCATCTCAACACTTTTTCAGCATCAACATTTTCAACACCAAGGGGAATCAGTAAGTGAAATGTGCAAAAGATACCCTACACGTGCATTTTTCTTAAGGCATGGATGACTCTCAGCAAAATAGAACTATAGCTAACTGTAGCTAAACACAAAATTATATTAAAAAAATCAAAAAATAAATATTTACAACTTTTCTCCTTTAAATTGGGAATCATTACGATTTCCATGCTATGCAGTCCTTTTGTTCCATCTATTCCAAAACCAATTTAAGTACCATGTAACATTCTAAAATCATTACTAAAAATGCTAGTTTTTTAAAAAGATCATTTTATTAATACACACATACTGGCCTTTATACTAACTTCCTTGTAAAAGTAAATGACTGGAATACACTTACAAAGTTGACACGAGTTTTGTATAACGAACCAAAGGTCACAATACAGCAGCTGTTAAGACCACAGCCAGTAACACCAAAAATAAAATATTCTGACACTTCATGAAAGAAGCCATAGCATGATGTTAAGTTTCCTTCCATGCTCCAAAAATAAAACACTTGAGTTTGCTTCAGTTGCAAAAAAGTGAGAGACTAATTTTTCTTTATTCTCTTAAATTCCCTATTGTTGCTAGAAATGTGTCAAGGACAAAACTAGAAAATAAGTAATTTACAAAAAAGATCAACTGTGATTGAGCCAGACAGCATGCAAACCAACAAGAATCTCAGAAGCTGGACACAGACCAGCTGACAGGGATCAAAGAGAACCAACTACTATACAATATTTCCATTTAAACTAAAAGTAAACTAGCTACCTCACTAGAACTTGTGCACAAAACCACTCTAATTAGACAGACACATGTACTATATGACAAGCAATGTATTTCAAGCAAAATTCTTCCACACATGAAAAGCTGTATGTGTGTAGTGTCACCACCCAGTTAATGCATTAAAGAATTTCTACTGTGAGACATTTAATTTGGCTTTGCCGAGTAGCTGATACAAGATGCAGGTAAGGTCAAAACCATCATTCCCACATTTCCATCCCTACCATTTCAAACGAACGCTCTCAAAATATAGTTAAGGTGACCCAGAATCTAACGATAAACAAGTCATTAAATATCAGATCCCCAAGTCAGATCCTCAAGTCAGTGAACCACATTTATTATGTTAGCTAAAGAATATCATTTCACTAATTGCTACCTATTTCTTAATGTGTTGTCCCCAAACCACCACCACAGCAATACAATTTCTGTAAGTCAGAAGTGCCAAAGATGGAGTTTCCAACTTTAGATATACTTATCTATATGAAGTCAAAGACAGTCCAGATCTTCTTACCGAGGTATGATAGGAAGATGTCACATCTTGAACAGTGTGCTAGATTTTTTCCTGCATTAAGTGCTCAATAAAGTTCCATTTTTGTTAGTCAAACAATACTAAGCAGAACCATTCTGCAAAAAACCAACCCTGAGTTTCTTAGCCAACCTTCAATTCAACACAAATGAATTAAAAAAAAAGGGGGGGGGGAGTGGGGGAGAAGAGGGGGAACATAAAACCAATTCTAAGAAGGGCAAGATTAAAAGGTAAGATTTATTTTGTTAACTGCCAGACCAGACTAAGCTTTCTGGAATATGAATTTTAAAATTTCCCTTGTTGCTCAGCCTAAATTCTACAAAGAACACGAGTCTTTAGAGAAACCAGTTATACCTAGAGGTAACGAGCTGAGAACACTGAGCAAATACTTTATCGTAAACTAATATTAAACAATAATTTTAGGTGGTACTTTTAAAAACAACAGAAAAAATATTTTAAAATTAGGATTATATATATTAGGTATCTCCTTTGAAATAAACATTCCTAGGCACTTCAAAACACAGAATTCATACCAGTATGTTTCACACATCCACTGGAAATATCCTCACAATTTTAAGCTGTTACTTCAAAAATAGCTTACATAATTACAATGGACTTAGAGGGGTTACACAAATATATTTTTTACAGGTCTTGTACTACAAGTGTCACACCGTAGTTCCTCAAAAACTGGTTTATCCATATGAATACAGAAGACCAAAGTCCAAAGTTCTCTCTCTTCCACAGGGAAAGCTTGCAAAGTAGGGATATTATCCAAAAGGGAAAACAGGCTTCTTGTACAGTAACTGTTACAAAAGCAAACAGGAGCAGCAGGCAATGAATTAGGGAAGTTGCACTACAGCTCAAGTCACCTTCTCAACTGGTCACAGTGTCTGCTGTATATGTATTACAAGGAAGATACACAAAGTATCCTATGCCACTGAAAAGGCATATTTTGAAAAAAAATGGTTTTGAAGAAACAGAATCCAAAAAAACCCTCCCATGCTCAAGTAACACCATCTTGAAAATTAGCAAAGGGACAACGGCATAGTCAACAAGACAAGCAAGTGATTGAACAGCTGGCTGCAATTCTGTGCTTCAGGAACACACTGTCTCCTCTCCCCCTCCCGAACTTCCACACTTGCTTATGCAGCCACTGTGCCCACCCTCTGCCTTGGTCAGCCCACTACCCCAGGAATCTTATCCACAAAAAATATAAACAAACCAACCCTGCCAGCTCAGTGGTCTGAATCGGATCAGCAAGGAGGTTTAACACCAGATAAGCAGAGTTAGAGCAAGAAACAGGAAAGGTCCTCCCAAGTGGGAGCAAAATAGTCTCTTGTGGCAGCAGCGGTGTTAAGTCACATAAACCGTCCATCCAAGCCCCACTGTGAGAAGAGTGATATATCACATGAAGCTACACACTCAACAGCTGGTTGCAAGAGCTTTACATGAAAAAAGCCATCAAGTGTGAAGTTATTTTTCACATGAATACAAGTTTCAAAGCACATGAACTGGCCTGAAAATATTTTGGTTTTTTCTTGCAGAAAAAAAATATTTTACAGCAAAGTATCACACAGTTTATTGCCCTGGGATCAGAAGACAAAAACCTGCTTGCCGTTGTGAATACTGAAAACAGATGTGCTGGAATGTTTGCTAAGACTTAAGAGGTGCATGTCAAACAAGTGTATGTATTTTGTTGATTACATTATTTTTCATGCAGATGTTAGCTTATCTTTAGCAATGATTGAAGCAACGGAAATTCCAAATGGTATTAAATACTGTGCTATAATTCAGAATGTAACGGCTAAAGAAAAAAAAATCTGCGTAAAATAATTGCAAATCCAGAATCTGGAAAGAAAAATGCCAGAGCCAACCTAAGACCATGGAATTTAAACTTTGTCTGCAGTTTATCATTAACACTTAAGTGTTAAAGTCTGGGTTAGTCAATTAGTCATGATCATATACAATATAAAAGTAAAAAGCTAATAGTTTAAAAATAACTTTTAAAATATTATAGATTAAGGTTTACCCTACGGACCTGACAGTTACGGAGAGGCAAAAGAAACAAGAGCTAGCTGGGCTTGCTTCCATAACAAACTAGACAAAAATCATTCTATACCCCTTCATTAAGACAAACATATGAAACACAATGAACAAACAAAAGCCTCAATTATAAGCAAATGATACAGGTTAACTGAACTTCAATACGCTACTTTCCTATCTGAAATGAAAAAACTTTAAAGGTCAAGTCCAATTTTTTATTGGAGGGAATGATGTGTTGCCAAACTATTCAAGTGAAACCACAAGTGAACACCTAAAAAAAAAAAAAAAAAAAGAGAAGAGAATTTCTGCCTATGCACCGACTCACACATAGACATGTACCCGCCTGAATGAAAACTTTAACTTAGTTCCTGCTGTCAAAATTATCACTTTAAAGCTTGGACAAAACACAGCTCCAGGGTGCACTACAATCTACTAAAAACCTAGTAAAAAATTAACAATAGTACTAAACCAGATCAGCAGCTGACTCCAAGTTTCCTTTAAAAGGTACTAGATTATTTTTCTGAGCAAAAAGAAAGTCTATACAAAACCTCACAGTTACAGTAGGTCTAAAAATATTTATCCTAGATAGAGATGCCATATAAATGCTATAGATACAACTCTGTATTAAAAATTAAGTGTGGAAGTAGTCATAGCAATAATTTTTATTACTGCTAAGATGTATCTGACTCAATACAAATATTGTGGGTAATCTTCTGTAACATTCTCAGAAAAAAATTAGATGGAAAACACATACTAGGCAGACTCATTCCTGAAAATTAAAATGGAATGTTTATGCTTTTACTTTTTTTAATTGGTTTCCTTGGTTTCAAATAATACAACTGGAGAAAACTTGTAGTAGTACTGGAAATAATAGTTCAAAGTAGTGTCTTCTTAATTAGTTTTAAATAAACTTTACTTATCCAAAAAAGAATCATTTAATCTTCTATGAACCATGCTCTGTAGTCTACTTACAGAATTATCCTAACAGTAAGACTATTTATATTGATTAATGAACTTAGAAGTTCAGATCTGAAACCTACATTTGGCAAAAGCCTTCAGTACTTCTATTCAGGAAGCAGAAATTCTATATTCATTACTAAATGCAGAAAACAAGAGAAAAACATGCAATCAGTTTTATTTTCATTTACACAAAAACATCACAACACACCTAAAAACTGATATTCCCAAACTGCAGTACAGAGCAGCTAGGAGCTGAGTCTGCATTCCTGTTGAAGATAGGATTAAGAATTCATTTCCACTGTGTCCGTAGCTGAATCTGCACAGGCAGTGACACCCTTTAGCAGGGGCAGCCTGCAGAAGAGACCTCTCTCCCAGTCTGTAATGCAAGAGCAAGCATGCAGGGGAGGCAGAGAAGAACAGGCTTGAAAAGTAGGGTCTCCCTTGATTTCATGGGGTTGAACATGGGGCATGATTCAGAAAGTAAGAAAAATCAAATGAATTCCAGCCTGGACAGTAAGGACATGCAACTAAATGGAAAGAGAAGTGGGATGATCCATCCTAGCTTGAGGAGCAACAGGACCTAGCCATTAGAGCTAAAGACATGGTGCTGCAGGATGTTT